GCGGCGTCGCCGGCGGCTGCTTGAAGGGGCGCAGCGTCGTCCGCCAAGTGTAGGCCCCGTCCGGCACGAGGTACTCTGGCCACACCGACCGCCCCCACCCAATATCACCGCCGACGCCCATCATGCGGTGGTCGACGCAGAGCGTCGCGTGCGCCTCCGGCTCGAGGTCGGAGGGGTGGGCCGCCGCGTCGATCGCCTGCGCGCCGTGCGGCAGCGCCGACCACCCGAACGGCTCCTCGCTCGAGACGGCGAGCCCGCGCCCTCCTGGCGCAGACAGCACCAGCCAAGTCGTGCCGCCGCGGTGGCCGCACTCGGACGGGACGACGTACGGCGTGAAGAGCTCGGCGGACGTCGCGCTGTGCATGCCGAACCGCGCGCCGGCCGCCCGGTCGGGGTAGTTCTCGTGCGGCCCCTGGCCGAGCCAGCGCACCGAGCCGAGCAGGTCGGGCGCCTGTGGAATCAAACGCGCGTGGCTCACCGACTGACTCACCTCTCGCACCGAGCCTCGGCAGGTCGGGCGCCGCGGCAAAGCGCAGGCCGATTCGCGGGAGAGAGAACTCGGGCGCGCAGAGCGGCATCCCGGACGCCCTTGTCACCTTTGCCGTCGTGTCGAGGGCGACAGAGCCGTCGGCTGAGACGGTGACGAGCAGCTCGTGCTTCGCGCGCGTCCTTCCCTTTGGCGTGCGCAGGTCGCACTTGCAGCGGATGACGACGCGCTCCGCCGCCGCCTCGACGAGCTGCACCGCGACTGCCTCGCGCGAGAGGCTGTCGAGGGAGTGGTGCTTCCAGATGTACGCCCACGACTGCACTGCGCCCACGCCCAGCCAGCGGAGGAAGGGGCCGACCTAGGAAGTGTCTAGGAAGTGTGTAGGAAGTGTCTAGGAAGTGTCAGCCAGCGGAGGAAGGGGCCGACCGTCGAGTAGAAGGGCCGCAGGTAGAGCGGCTGCAGCGTCGCCCAGCCGAGCTGCGGCTTCGGCTTCGACCACGAGGCGGACGAGACGAACTGCGCGAGCCACTCCTTCCGGTCCGACGTCACGGCCGGCATGCCAGGCGTCGCGCCGTTGTCGTTGTCCGTCGGCGCGCGCCAAAGGTTGAGCGCCGCCGAGCCGGCGGCGAGCAGCGACTCGCCGTTGATCGCGAGCGAGCGGAGCGTCCCGGTCGTCTTGCAGACGACGACGCTGAAGGCGCCCTCGGCGCCGCTGCCCGACACCTGGATGGCGTCGGCGAGATGTGGGGAGATGTGGGGAGATGTGGGGAGATATGGGGAGATCACACCTCGATGGCGTCGGCGAGGTCGGAGCACTTGAGAGGCGCGGCCGCCGGCGACTCCAGCGCGGCGGCGGCGCGGGCGGGCGGCGCCTGCGAGGCGAGCTGCATATCTCGGCTCCTCCTCGGCTAATCCGCTCCTCGGGCGGGCGGCGCCTGCGAGGCGAGCTGCTCGCCGAGCGCGGCGGCGTCGATGTGCAGCTGGACGGCGGCGACCTCGTGGCCGGCGGCGGCCCAGGCCGACTCCTCGGAGAGCGTGAAGCAGAGGGCGAGGTAGACCTCCGACGGGCGGTACGGCGCGAGGGCGGGGTCCCAGACGACCTCGAGGTCTACCTCACACGAGTCGCGCGCGCCGACGGCCCGCCAGCCGCCGCCGCCCGACTCGAGCGGCGCCGCCTCTCCGACCTCGACGCCGCCGACCTCGAGGCCGCACCGCAGCGAGAGGTGGGCGAGGCTGGGGAGGTGGTCGTACCGCGAGCTGATCCGCACGCGGAACGCGGAGCGCCGCTTCCCCGCGGCCGGCTCGGCGGCCGGCTCGGCGGAGAGCAGCGCCACGTCGACCGGCCGGTGCACGTGCTTGACCTCGTGCAGCGCCGGGTGAGGCGTGCGGTCGGGGAAGACGAGCCCGTTGATGCAGAACTGCGCGTCGTGCTGCTTGCACTCGAAGTCGCCGCCGTAGGCCCAAAAGTGCTTGCCCGTCTTCGGGTCCGTCTGGTGCAGCCCCTGGTCCGCCCAGTCCCAGATGAAGCCGCCCTGCGCGTAGGGGAGCGAGGCGAAGAGCTCCCACCAGTCGGCGTAGTTGCCCGTCGAGTTGCCCATCGCGTGCGCAAACTCGCAAGGGATGAGCGGCCTACGGCGCGCGGTGCGGGCCGGCGGTCGGGCGAGCCGCCGCGTCCGAGGGCGGCGTGGCGCGCGAGGGGGCACTGCCGAGGCTGCTCACGCGTGCCAAGCGGGAAGCGGCGCGTCGGGGCGAACATCCACTTCGCGTTTTGGCCGGCGGCCGAGCTCCCCACCTTCTCGACGTGCTTCTTGTCGGGGTACATCGGGCAGATGATGTCGGTCGCGTCGCCGCCGCCGCACGACTCGTACTGGACCGGCCGGCTCGGGTCGTGCGTGCGGCACCACGCAGCCATCGCGTCGTGGTTTGGGCCGTAGCCGGACTCGTTGCCGAGCGACCAGACGATCACGCACGGCGAGTTCTTGTCGCGCCGCACCTGCGGGGCTCCTCGACAGGTCCACGACAGGTCCAGGAAGAGGCAGGCGCGTGTCGCGCCGCACCATCCGCGTCATCCGCGAGAGGTAGGCGTGCCGCCACGAGGGCTGCTTGGAGAGGTAGCCCTCGTCGCCCCACGAGGAGAAGCCGTGCGTCTCGAGGTTGGCCTCGTCCACCACGTACAAGCCGACGGCGGCGCAGATCTCGTACCAAGCGTCGGTGTTTGGGTAGTGCGCCGTCCGGACGGCGTTGAAGTTGTACGCCTGATCATGGGCGAGCAGGCGTGACTCACTCGCCGCCCTCCGGCAGACAGCCGGCGCAGTCGGCCGCCTTGAGCATCGTGGCGTCGAGGAGCATCGACTCCCACGACACGGCCTTGCCGCCCTCGGCGGTGTGCTCGTGCCGGTTCACGCCCTTGATGGTGAGCGGGGCGCCGTTGACCCGCAGCAGCCCGCCTACCCGACGACCGCACAGCCGGTCAACCGGCTCCTCCTCGCCTCGCCGTCGACGCGCGGCGGGGCCGCCCTCGATCGACACGCTGCGCAGGCCGACGAGGCACGTCTCGACGTCGAGCACGTCCTCGCCGCCCGAGCCGGGGGCGACCAGCTCGACGACGAGCGAGTACAGGTTCGGCTCCTCCGCGCTCCAGAGCGCCGGCGCCTCGAGGGTCGCTCCGCCGCGCGCGCGCGCAGGGCAGCCGCGCAGCGACATCAGCCCGTGCGCGTCGTCGTCGAGCAGGGCGTGGTGCGGGTCGGCGTCGTCGGCGCCCGGCGCGGGGCGGCCGACCGCAGACAGCCTGGCGACGTCCACGTCCTCGGCGAGCGTGGGCGGCGCGAGGGTCGCGGCCCACGCCTCGCTGCAGGCCGGCAGCGGCGCCTCGAGGTCCTGCTGGCGTCCGAGGCGGAAGGGGCCGTGGAGCGAGGCGCGCACCGCGAGCCCGCTCTCGGAGAAGGCCTGCGACAGCGTGTCGCGGACATGTCCTGGGCGTGCCCTCTCGCCACGAGCCCGCTCTCTCTGGGCAGGGCTCTGGCCTTCGCGGCGGCGGCTGTGTCCGTGGCGGCGGCGTCGACGATCGAGCCGGCGAGCGCCACGTCGAGCGAGAAGTCGGCAGTGGCGCCGGAGGGAGGGACGGTGGTCGAGACGGCAAAGTCGCGGATGGCGAGGCGCGCGGGCTTCGAGTACAGGAAGCAGTGCCGCTGGATGCCCGACAGCCACCACTGCGGGTTCGGGTTGGGGTTGGGGTTAGGGACAGCCGGCACTGCGGGGCGGCGGGATGGGTGGGGTCGCTGGGTAGCGGGATGGGTGGGGTAGCTGGCGGGTGGGCGTGGGGAGGCGGGGAGGTCTGGGGTGCGGCGGCTGAGGGAGCGGGAGAGGAGAGGCGGGCACCTGCCCGCAGGGAGGGTCTCGGGAGGTGCTAGGAGGCGGCTAGACTTGCCACCTGGTCTTGGTCCTCGAGGTACGAGCCGTCCGAGTACCGAACCACTTGGACCGAGAGGACGTGTTCGGACGCGGACATCCCCTCGGCGGAGACGAGCTTGGTCACCTCAAACTCGGCCGGCAGCCGCGAGTCTTGCGAGTAGCCCACCTCGGCCCCGTCGATCCACACCGTCGCCGCCGAGCCGAGCCCGTCCAGCACGAGGTACGAGCGGCGGCCGATCCAACGGGCAGGGAGGGTGAACGAGACCTGGTAGGAGCCAACCTCGTTCCGCTCGTCCGTCGGCACGCGCGGCGGGTCGAGCTTGAACGGATACCGCTCGTTGAGGTAGACGGGCTTGGAGCCGACGCCGGCGACCTCCCACGAGCATGGAACCTGCAGGTCGCCCCAGCCCGCAGCGTCAAAGCCGCCCGGACCCGACACCGATGGAGCATCCGCTGGCTTTGATGCGAGCGAGAAGGACCAGCGGGCGGGTGTGAGCGCCAGCAACCACGGGCCGGCCGGCAGCTCGTCGCACAAGCGGCGGCCGAGCACAGCGGCTCGGCTCTCATACGCCCGGAGCGGCACGTGCATTCGCTCCCGGTTAACCTCGAAGCATGCCTCATCGGCCCACCGCTCACGCGGCTTGGAGGTGGGCATTCGTGTTAATACGTGAAGTTGTACGGCACACGTCGATACGACCAGCAGCTGGTAAGGCCGCCTCGGGTCGGCCAAGGGCGTCGGGCCGCCAGCACAAAAAGTAATTCCAAGGCGACCGACCCAAACGCTATAAGAGCAAATGCGTTAGTTTTCTGTTTTCTTTTTTTCATATGTTGCGTTCTTTCTTTCTTTCTACCCGCCTTGACTTCTTTTTCCGTCGCGTGTGTATACTGTCTGAGAGAGAGAACGTGTCGGTACTAACACCAAAAAACAAACACTCTCTCTCTCTCTCTCTCTCCAAAAAACTACTATGTCTTGCAGTGAAAAGTAATCCGAGCCGGCCCGCGGCCGCAATCTCAACGTTTCTAAACAGCACGTAGCCCGCAAGGCTCGAGCCGCAAGGTCACGCTACGCGCGTACGGGCAGCGCCTGCGCAGCAATGCCTCTTTACTGCGCCATGCGCTCGAGCGCAACGCAAGCCGGCTCCGCGTCGCGCACTGACTGCGCCATCCACTCGGCCGTGCTCGAGCCCCCCCCAGAGCAACCCCACCGCATCACGACGGACGACATCAGATGCACGAAGCTGCGGACCGACCTGCACGCGGCAGACCGCGCCTCAAGCGGAGCATCGTTCACCGAGGCGCGCACGCGCTCCGTCAGCGCCATCACCGCCGGACGCCACCACTCCTGCACATGCGCCTGGAGGTCCGACCCGCCTCCCCCAAGCCCCCCCTTCCGCTTGCCCGACTTGAAGACTGCGGCGTACGTCCATCCGCGCGCGTCGATGCCGAAGAGGTGCCCAAAGGGACAGCGCGCCTCCGTCGCAGCGAGGTCGGCAAGGCGTACAAGCCACTGCAGCATCTCGTCCAGCTGCTCAGTCGAAAAGTGGCGGCCGTTGTCCGTCACGAGGCTGCCGAATGTGACGATTGGGCCGAGCGCGAGCAGGTACGCCGCCCGCCACGTGGTCGTGGGCAGCTGCGACGGGAGCGCTACATGGCGCCGGAGGCCGCAGCGCTTCACCAAGAGGCCGCGCCACAGCTCGCTCTGCTCAGGCGCATCAATGCTTCGCCGCCACTCTTGGCACACCTCCCGCGACCTGAAGAGTTGGCGCGCGTCGCTGCAGTGGCCGTGCACGTGGAATATCAGGTCGGTCACGAGCAGGAGGGCGGGTGAGGACTGCACGTCTGGATTGGAGCGCGCAGCTTCGTTCATGAGTTCTGAGTCGCTCGCAGCGCGCGCCGGACAATTCTTTTGTCGTGTTGTGTGTGCCAGTCCCGCCAGTCCGCGCCCTTGTCGTGCCAGCGTGCTGGAGAGATCGGGGGGCGCGGTAGAGCGATTCACAGCTTGACGGCGGTTCCGCCTCTCCCGAGCTGACCCGAGCTGACCCGAGCTGACCTCAGAGTAGGCCGACAGCTCGACGACAGTCCGTGTCCAGCGTCCACCCATACCGCGTTGGTGTCCAATCCGAGCCTGGCTGTTCTTCACCTTACTACCTACCTACCTAGTCCGTGTCCGCGACTCGGCGGGCGATGAGTGGCGCGACTTGGTCAATTTCCCGTACGGCGAGGAGGGCAACATGGTCGAGTTTGCGAGGCACGGTTTCTTCTTTCAAGTCGGTGCTCGCCCTCTCGACGCTCGGCCGCGAGACGCAGGCGCTGGTGCGACGATATCTCCCCATCTCTCCCCGAATCCCCCCATATCTCCCCCCGCGAGACGCAGGCGCTGGTGCGGCTGGACGCGACGACGGGCGCGGAGCTCGAGACGATTGCCTACGACCCTAAAAGCAACACGGCGGGCATTCTTCTCGACGACGACACCAAGGAGGTGCGCGGGGCGGGCCGAGAGTGCCCGAGAGCAGCCGAGAGGCAGCCGAGACCAGCCGAGACCAGCCGAGGCCGCCGTGATCAGCCGAGATCCGCCGAGATCAGCCGAGATCAGCCGAGATCAGCCGAGATCAGCCGAGATCAGCCGCATCCTCTCCTCCACCAAAGAGGTGCGATGAGGCGGACGACGAGACAAGCCTCCCCTCCCTCCGCCGCCTCCCTCTCCGCCTCTGCAAGGTGCGCGCCGTCTCCTTCAACTACGCGCGCACCGAGCGGCGCTTCTTCGACAAGGAGCTCGAGGCCGACTTCAGGGCGCTCGAGGCGGCGGCGCCCGCCGGTGCCGAGGTCAGCATCGCGTCGCGCACCCGTGACGAGCAGACGTGGCTCGTGGCACCTAGAAGCGAGAGAGCGGCGTCGGCTGTTTTCTGCCCATTGCAGGACGGCGCAGGTGTCACCGCGCTGATGCTCGCCGCTGGCCAGGGCCACAAGCGGATGGTCAACTTGCTGCTGCAGCGCGGCGCAGAGATCGACTTGCAGGACAGCAGCGGCGGCACCGCGCTGATGTGCGCCGCTGCCCACAACCACCCCGCCGTCGTCCTCCGCTTGCTTCGGGCGGGCGCGGATACAGGACGGGACCCGGAGGGGTCTGGGGAGTGGAGCACGTGGTGGGGTCTTTTTTTCGGGCAAATGGGATTTTTTCTTTTTTACCCCGCGTCGTCGGATGTTGCCCGCCCATGTCCAAGCAGGTCAGCGTCATGTCTGCTCCCGGCAGCCTGCTGCTCGAGAGCATTCTCTCGGAGGACGAACAGTGCCTGGTTCTGCGCTGGCTGTCGGCACGGCACCTCACGCTCGTCTCGCAGGCGAGCAAGCGCTTCCGCATCCTATGCACGAGCGTCGCCGACGCGGCCATCATCGAGATGCGGGTCGGCGACGTGCCGGTGCCACACCTGGAAACCACCTTCCATCGGCTCGCGCGCTTGTGCGGCGTTCGCTTTGCGCCCGCAGTCTTCTACTCTGCGGCCATTCGCACAGCCTGTGACTTCAAGACCGATATCAGTATCGAGATTGCTGCGATCGAGAAGCTGCACGTGCTCGTGGGCGATCAGCCGCTTGTCGACTCGTATCCTGAAGATGATCCTGGGCGGCACTTTGAGTTTGGAGAATGCGGCACGGAATGGATGAAGCATGCCATAACGCACACGGAGCATAGTCGCAGAAAGCACATCAAGCACAAGGACGTGGACGCTGCGATGCAGGTCTTCCTGCGCACACTCCCAATGCGAGCCGATGCGTTACTGCCTGACGAGGAGGAGGACGACGATGACGATTGCGACTTCAAGAACAAGGACGACGGCGACGATGATGATGACGACGACGACGACGACGATATCGGCAGTATCGGCGTGGCCATCGGGCCACAGTGCGGCGAGCTGTACCTCAGGCTTTCAGGCCTGCTGCCATTTTGCTCAGACGGAGAATTCACGCGAGAATGGTACAAGACCGCAGCTGACTTCTTTCAAGAGCTCGAATCGGACTTCCCGTGGAACGGAGCGTACTGGCTTGCTTTGACTCGCGAGGACGCGATCGCCTATGCCATCCTTCACGGCTACCTTGATGGCTTACAACCCGCATCTTTTGCGAGCAAAATGGAGTCGTTTGCGAGCGAAGTGGCGGAGGCTGACCCGGCAAACCTGCCGGCGGGCAAGGCGCTGATCTTAGCGGTCGCCGAGCGAGTCAGCACTACGCTGCAGCCATGTGCCAACCCCGTGTGCTGCCACCAGGCTTGTGACTGCCGACTGGCGAACCCCCATGATGCTTATGCTGGGGGTCGTTGGAATGGCGGACCCCCATGGTTTCATAATCAGGAGCGAGGGGACTACGATGCCACAGCGCTCGAAACCCTGGGGGGCACCTGCCTGCCCTGCGTGGGCGGCTGCCCATCCGCGCGCTTCCTCCGCGAGGCCAACCGGCGCGTCCGCCAGTGGATACGCGAGGGTACACGCCACCCGGAGCGGACCCTCGCCAAGATCGACTTCAAGCTCGAGACCGGCGTCGCTAAGTGGTACTGAGGCCAAGCATCCAATGGCCAGTGTGCGCTGACGGCTTGATGACGAGCCTCGCCTCGCGACCGGCGACTGTACTTGCTCTCACGACGCGTGCCACTCGCGCAAGTACCACTGTGCCGTGACCACACTGCGTGCCGTGACCTGTGCCTCTCGCCTCTCTCTTCGGGTGGCTAACCTAACCTAGGGGAGAGGGGCTGCTTGCTTACTGTTCAAAAAGTAACAATACAGGGTGCGCGAGGGGGTCGCCGTTGCCGCGCCGCAGCGTACTTGGTCTCATCCCAGCCAATCAGCACCTAGCGGCGATCGTCGCTGACCGCCAAAACCTTTCCTTTCGCACTTGCGTGGGACACCTACCGCGCACTTAACCTCCCATACCCCCCTGCGCGAACAGCACCACGAGACTTGCACGAAAGAGAGACTAAAAACCATGATTGGGTCCTCCCGCTGCTCAAATCGCTGGCGCCCGCCCGCCTCAGCAAGCGCGGGCAAGCGGCGATCGAAACAGAACAGTCACCGGCGCCTGGAGGTGCGCTCGCCCTGGCCAACAAGAGCGTACTTGTTGAGAGCGTCCGCAATGGGGCACTCGTCGAAGGCCCATGCACCTGACAGCTTCTTCTTCTGGATCTCCTTCTTCTGGATCTCCTGAAACCCTTTGACCTGCTTGTGGATATCTGCCGTTGGCCAGTAGATCGTGATTTTGCCGTTGCCGACGGACTTGATCACGCCGGTCGCCGAATGCTTGTTGACTACCATAGCCCCCTCTACCCAGCCCGCCGGCAAGGTCGTCTGGATGGCCTATGAACAGCCAGCGGGGGGTGAGAGATATTCGGATCGGCGTGTCCTCCTTCTCCTCCACCTCGTCCGCCGCCTCCTGCGGCTGCTGCTGTGGGCTCGGCTGCTGCTGCGGCTGCTGCGGTGGCTTCGGGGCCGTCCTCGCCCGCTTGGCGACGGGCTTCGCCGTCGCCGCCGCCGCTGCCTCCGCCTCCGCCGCTGCCGCTGCCTCCGCCACCTCGCCCTCGTATTGCCACACCGTGCCGTTGGGCTCCTTCAGGCGCACCATCCGCTCCGCGCCTTTGTCACTCGAAGTGGTTGGCGCTGGCTTGGCGGCTGCTCGCGTACTTGCGCAGAGTCACCTCACTGAGCGTCACCGACTCAGTGACGGAAGCACCGGCAGAGCGGTTCATGAGCAACTCTATCGCAAAGGGTAGGACCACGACGCTCTGCCCACGGACTTGCCTAATTAGAAAACCGCGCGTGACACGCTTTGAGCTAACGATTCGCCGAGCCTGTCGAGCGAGCCGCTGTTGAGCACCATCGCGATGCTGTCCATGCGCGCATGCTTCAAGCAGTCGCTGCCCTGCCTCCACCAACGCAATGCCCTCCCCTCCGCAACCGATCTCGGCGTGAAACGCTTTGAGCTGGAGTGGTGGCGCAAGCTCGGCGGCGACTCCCTTGAGCCGGTCCTCGCGAGCGGCGCCGTCGCCCTCCTCGACGCGCAGTGGATAATCAGCCACGCCGAGGCGGGCGGCGTCCTCAACCACCGCCAGGCACTGCCCGAAGAGGCCTTCCTCTCCCTCGCCGACCTCGTCAAGGCGACCGGCGATTTTGACCTTGCCGTCGCCGCGCTCTCCTCCCCGTGGCTGACCAAGGACCACCCCGACCCGCGCGGAGCCAACCTCACCCGTGTCGCGAGGGCGCTCAAGGCCCTGCTCTCGCATCCTCGCATCACGCGGCTCGGCGTCTTTTGGGACTTCGGCTCGCTGCACCAGCACCCCGACCCCCCCAACGGCGTCATGCGCAGCGAGGAGCAGAACGCGCTCTTCAAGCAGGGGCTGGGCTGCCTCGGCACGATCTACTCCCACCCCCACACGACCGTGCTGCGGCTTACCTCCTTCCCGGACGGCCACAAGGCTGAGGACCAGCCCGAGGGCACCAACGTGGCCGAGTACTTTGACCGCGGCTGGTGCTTCACGGAGCAGAGCTGTGCGAGCCTGACAAAGTCCGGCCTCCTCTCGCTCGACCTCGGCAAGATGCGCGACGGCAAGGAGTACGACTACGGCCGCCTCCGAGCGGACTGGGGCCAGCACGGCGGCCGGCGCCCTCCGCTGCTGCCGTCTGCCTTCGCGGTGGAGCTGGAGAAGAAGAGCTTCACCAACGGCAAGGACGACAAGCCGCTCGTGAAGCAGCTGTACGAGGCCGCCTTCGAGGAGCAGTTTGGCAAGGCGACGGAGCTGAGCTACGACATGCTCGGCTGGGGCGACGCGGAGGCGGCGCAGCTGGCGGAGGTCCTCGCGAGCGGGGCAGCACCGCGGCTCGAGACGCTCTCTCTCTTCGGCAACAAGATTGGCGACGAGGGCTGCAAGGCGCTGGCCGCCGCCCTCGGCAAGGAGGGGGCAGCGCCGCGGCTCGAGAAGCTCAATCTCGTCGGCAACAGGATCGGCGAGGAGGGCTGCAAGGCGCTGTCCGCCGCCCTCAAGGAGGGGGCCGCCCCGAGCTTGAAGGCGCGAGACACCCCCTCGCCCCCCCCCCCCCCGCCCAATGCTCATCGCGCCTCCTTTCGCGTGCAGACGCTAGAGGTGGACAACAAGGAGCAGCCTGAGCTGAAGGCCGTGTGCGAGGAGCGCGGCATCACGCTCTAGGCCTCTCGCTCGACGCAAAGCTCTGCGGTGGAGCGCGGCCACAGCCGCAGGGAGAGGGATCCCCTTTGCCACCACTCGGATCCCCTCGCGGCCACCTCGGAGCGCTCGGTGCTGGGATGGGTGGCGCGCCGCGAAAGGTGTGTGGCGGGGCCGCTGTTCATTAGATGAGGGCGTGCCGCTCCTGTGCGTGACCGGTATCGTCGTCGAGTATCGATGTCTCTGCATATGCCGAGCTCCCGCATGAGCAGCAGCTGTGGAGTCGATACGAAAGGACAGCATGGCGGCGACACCGCAAGCGCGTTCGGTCGCGCTCGCCCCGAGGCCGCCGCCGCCGTCGGTGCAGCGTTCGTGCCTGACTGAACTGCTGGGCTCGCGCTTTGCCCATTGCACAGCGGTGGGTTGACGTGGCTACTGCCAGCCCGCGGCTTGTTCATCGGCGGGCTCGGGGCAGCATGCTTCGCGACCAATGCGTGCCCACGCTGGCTCTGCCCTCTCCGCAGCATCGTTGCGACGTTGGCGCCCACACCTCTTCCCGCGCACTCAACTTATCGTGCTGAGGGCCCAACTTCAGAATCGTGCTTTTTGGGTAGGGTTGGGTTGTTGGCCCGGGTTGGGTTGTTCCGCGTGTTGGGTCGTCGGCGCGAAGGGTGAGGTCTCGACCGCCGCCGCTCACGCCAGCGGACGGCCACCATCGGTGTTTTTGGCTTCGCCACCGTCCAAGGCGTGCGCCATGCGCTCGCCGGCATCGAGCGAGCAACGTGATCGACCGAGCGGCTTGCCGTGTGGACGCCTTCTTCTGGCTCTCGTCGAGAGCGTTTTGCGTCCCGGCGGGTGGGAGAATATGTGTCGTCTGATGTGTCACTGTGTACGTCACATCGGTCTTGATAACAAGCACGGTCGATCCGTCGAAGCGATACACTCGTTCCTATCACGCTGGAAGGCTGGCACGGAGCTCTGTGCCGGCACACAGAAGAGCCGTGCGGCAAGAGAAGAGCGCGATGGGGAGCGAGAACCGTCAGATTTTCAGGTGTAACCTGAAGTCCGTCGCGATGCACTCAATCCCTCCCGAGCGAAAGCCTGTGGCTCTCTCGAACTCGTCGATATATTGCGGATAAACTGCTCTTCCCGCATAGCTTGCAGAGTCAGAGGCGCAGAAAGGCTGCGAGTGCTCGACGAGTCTTGCGAGCTGCGCGGTCAAACCTGGGGGAACTGACCGCATCAAGGCGGACTTCCGAAACCTGGGTGAGCACCTCTGACGGTTGGCGGGTGCCATGGGTATACTTTAATTCTTTTTGTACTTTAGTCTTTAAAGATTAAACCCTCTCCTCAAAAACATATTCCTGCATCCCCTGGTGGGAGCGGCCTGTTCCGAAAGAAAGAAACAAAAAACGATTGCACTTCAGAGAGTACCCCCCACTCGTCTGGCGCGACACGCCGCAGGATGGCCGCCGCCGCCGCCTTTGCAGCGCCCCCGTGGCCTCCTCCCGGCTCCACTCGTGGCCGGCGGGTGCCAAAGGGTCCGCAGCAGGCTGCCAGCAGGCCCGAGCGGTGGCTCGCGACGCGACTCGGCTGCGCCGCCTCCTCGCCGCCGAGTGCTGCGAGCGTCGAGCGAGTCGCCGGCGAGCCATCCGCCACAGCCTTAGCTGCCGGTCCACGCACTCCCAGGCACACGGAGGGACCCAGCAGCGTCGCCGCACGCGTCTGAGCCACGCGTCGGCGATGCAAACAGGCTGTGACTTCACCCGGCAGAGCCTCGACGACTGCTCGGTGCGGAGTGTACTGTTGCGAGGCGCCGCTGGGCGGCGGCGCGCGGCTCCTCGCTGCTTCGGCGCGCCGCGCTGGCGCTCTGCGGCGGACGGTGCCGTTGGCTCGCCGTTGCCTCGCTCGTGGACGTCCCATTGAAGCACGCGGTGCGGCGCCTCTCGGTGGGCCCATTGCGCCTCTCACTACACACTCCCTGCTCTCTCCCGACCTCACTCCACGGTGCGTCACGATCGTGGCGGCGATGCGCCGCAGGCGCTCGTCATCGCGCGCACGGCTGTGGCGCCGCGTCCAGGCGGCAAGCGCACCGTGCCATGCCTGCGGTGGCGCTGCCACCGACAGCGCCACCACCGCACACTCACGTGCCGTGAGGAAACGCCACGTCGCGTGTCACTTCACGGTGTGCCGTGATCGTGGCGGCGATGCGCCGCAGGCGCTCGTCATCGCGCGCACGGCTGTGGCGCCGCGTCCAGGCGGCAAGCGCACCGTGCCATGCCTGCGGTGGCGCTGCCACCGACAGCGCCACCACCGCACACTCACGTGCCGTGAGGAAACGCCACGTCGCGTGTCACTTCACGGTGTGCCGTGATCGTGGCGGCGATGCGCCGCAGGCGCTCGTCATCGCGCGCACGGCTGTGGCGCCGCGTCCAGGCGGCAAGCGCACCGTGCCATGCCTGCGGTGGCGCTGCCACCGACAGCGCCACCACCGCACACTCACGTGCCGTGAGGAAACGCCACGTCGCGTGTCACTTCACGGTGTGCCGTGATCGTGGCGGCGATGCGCCGCAGGCGCTCGTCATCGCGCGCACGGCCGTGGCGCCGCGTCCAGGCGGCAAGCGCACCGTGCCATGCCTGCGGTGGCGCTGCCACCGACAGCGCCACCACCGCACACTCACGTGCCGTGAGGAAACGCCGCCGCGTCGCGTGCGTGGCGCGGCTATCACTAGCGGCCGGCGCTCGTCGGGTGATGGTGTCGCGGGCCGGCGCTCCAGTGTCGAGACCCAGGTAGAATTCTTTTTCACGCGTGTCAAAAGTCGAGCTCTCGCGCGAGTGCCAAGGTGCTCGAGAGTCTCGCCTCATGGCCTGCTGCGACAGGTGCGGCGAACGTCATCGGACCATAGACTGCCCACACTTCCCGAAGCCTCGCGGGAAGCATCCGGACGCGCAGTTGCAAGGCCCAAGGCGCAACCTCTCCCCAGACGTGGAGGCTGTCGTTCGGCGCGGTACTCTCGTGGCCCAGACCCCAGACGGTTCGTGCCTCTTCAATTCCTTCGCGTACTGCGAGCAGCAAGACGCTGAGAGCGAGGCTCAAGGGGATGGAGCTGCGCGTCAAAGTCCCTTTCACTGTCTTCATGTGCAAAGTCTGCCGGAAGTATCTCTGCCCCGACTGCTGGCGACCGTGGCACGATTCAGAGGCCCCGGTGGACAAGCGGGAGTGTGCTCCGTGCACTCGCCCAGCCTCAGGCGGCTCGCCTGCCGAGCCAGCTGAGGACACTCGCTGGTTTCCCCCTTCCCGTGGCGTGCGCCTTGGACGCCGAGCCGCGCGCGCTACCGCTAGATCGGGGGGCAGCAGGCCCGCCCGTCGCAACATCGACGAGGACGCCGTGCTCAGCCCTGCCCGCCTCTCTGCCTCTCGTGCGTCGCCCCTGCGCCGGGGTCGTTCCAACCCACTGCCACCTTCCAGCTTGATCTCCCCGGCGGTTCGTTCGCCTGCGAGGAAGGCGAGGAGTGCGGTGAGGGACGCCATCGACGCTGCCGTCGAGAGCGGCCGGCTGGCGGCCGAGAGCCGGAAGAGGTCACGGTGTGAGAGCGCCGGCGCATCGGGAAGAGAGGCTGCCGTGATTGCTCGTGAGGCAAAGAAGGCGAGGCGGGCGGAGAGATCATCCCGCCTCGCGAGCCGGCACGCCACCAACCCCCCCGCCAAGCCCCCCGCCAAGCCTGCCGCCAAGCCCGCCGCCAAGCCCACGGCCAACGCCAAGCCCCCAAAGCGGCCCCGTGAGCCTGCTGCCGAGGCTGAGGCGGCCCCAGAGGCGCAGCTGCCAAGGGATGGGGCAAAAAAGAGCCGCACTGTCCGAAGGAGCAAGCGTGGCCGGGATGGCGGCGACTCTTCCCCGCCGGCCGGGCGCCGACGTACCTAGTAGGCTGTGAGAGTGTGCCCGGGAGCTGTGAGAGTTTATCGTAGTCAGGCTGTCTTGTGTATGCGGCTGCCTTCCTGGTCAGGCAGGACATGCCCCTACTGGAGTGGTATGTCAAGTAAGGGCCCGCGGGTTGAGGTTGTTCTCGCGCCACACCACCCTGCCACCGCTGCCACCGAAGGCAACACGGTGCTCAGAATGGCTAAGTCGGGCCGATTTTGTATTCGCACGCCGCGCGCCGTGGAGGGCGCGGACAAGCGACTGACACCAAATGTCCGACTCTGGGGTTGTAGTGCGGACCCCGGACTACAACTCTCTAGTCGGATGTGCGGCGTGAAACGCGCTGTTGCGCCCTCCACGGCGCCCGAAGTGCGCCTTGTCTCGCACAGCAGACGGGTCGCGAGCCGGGAAATCGCAGCAGTCTCGCTGAATCTCGCCGCCCCAGGCTCTAGAGGTGGAGAGACTGGCCTTCCTGGTCAAGCAGGACATGCCCCTGCTAGCATGCCAAGCAAGGGCTCGCGGGTCGAGGTTGTTATTGCGCCACACCACCCTGCCACCGCTGCCACCGAAGGCAACACGGTGCTCCGTGAAACGGCCACTTTGTTGTCGTAGTCAGGCTGTCTTGTGTATGCGGCTCCTTAAAGCTAAGAAGTGTGTATAAGGGGCTAGGAAGAGGGACCCAAGATATCTTCTGAGCTGTGCACAGGGGAGGACCTAGGTGACAAAGACCCAAGAGAAGGGGCCGGAGAGAGTGAGGTGAGGCCCGAGCGGCCAACGGAGCAGCGGTGGTGGCAGCGTGGCGCACCGTCAAGCTCGGGCACAGCCGGTTTAAGCCAAAGTGAAGTAACTCATATATATCTGAAATCATATGAGTTACACCTCGGCCTTCTAGGAGCTGCTAGCTGAGTGATTGGCGCGCTAGAAGCCTCCCCGAGAGTGCCTCCCCGACCGGCCCCGAGGAGCTGCTCGGAACTCCAACTTTAACCCTTCATAGCTCCAAAACGTACCTGCGGATTTCTTCCCTATTGCTCCTGCATGATCTGTGGGTCCACCCCACTCACATAACCAAGCCTCAAGGAATGGCGTCTAGGCGTTCAGAAATAGTGTCTTGTACACACCCATACACATCTTTTCTCCCAGTAAGCTAAAAGTACGTACACATCAGACGACTCAAGGGTACACACCGAGACCTTGACTGCACGCAGACCGACTGCCTACACCCCCTCGCCGACCGCCTCCTGCTCCTCCGCCACGGCAGCAGGGAGCACCGCGGCGGGCGCAGCAGCCGCTGGCGAGGTGGGCGTGTCGGGTGCAGACGTCGACGCGGCCAGTGCGGCGGCGGGCGCGGCGGCGGGCGCGGCGGCCTTGACGGGCAGCGACGCCTCCGAGCCCCGGCTCGAGAGCTGCGTCTTGTGGAGCGACACCATCGACGAGGAGCGCGAGGAGCCGCCGCCAGCAGTGGGGCACCCCGCGCCAAGTCACAGACGCGGTCGGACCTGGCCGGCCGCCCGACGCGTCTCGCCTCGGGATCGGCGTCGTCGCGCCCGACGGAAAGGGCGTCTCGATCGGCGCCAGGCCGGGGAAGCCGTACGAGGGCCTTGCGCTGCCTGCCGAGTGGCGCAGAGGCGGATGGCGGCGGCGCGCGATTCACGCCTGGGGGGCTCTCCCGGTCTGCCGGGCTGGATTTGCTGTTTCACTGGGAACTGCCCCCCTTGCGAGTACACACTTACTCGTGTCAGGCTTGCGGCAGTGTCCCATTCGAGCGTGTCGTGTTTTTGCTACTGTTGCGGCCTAAAGTCTGTGCAGGTTGCGGAGGACACGATCCCGGCGTGAACACGACTAACTGACGGATCCGCTCCTGACACCACAGTCGCACGCGCCGCGCTGCGGCGCGTGCGGCTGTCTTTGTTTGAAGTAAAAAGTCGAATCAGAGCGCCGTCGGCGTTGTCCTCCATTTTCCTCCCACGGACCGCCCGTCTGGCACCGCTCCGGGACGCACGCCGGCGAAGCACCATCAAGCTGCTTTACGGCCCCAGCATTGCCTTCCCAGGCTTAGCTAGACTGAAAGATATTGTGCACATGGTTAGTCTCTACAATATATACACTGACATTGAACCTCCCAGAGCTCGTCCCGGTCCGTCACGGCCATCCTCGGCCTCCGGAGGGCCCCCGGCCGCGGCGCGGTGCGGCGGCGTCACAAATCCGACCACAGAGCACCGGGACGCGGTCGGGCGATCTGAGGCCCGACTAGGCGTATGCATTGCCTATACAGGGCTATCACCTGGACCTATCAACAGCGCCGTGGTCAGGAGCTGCTGTTCACACTTGCACAGACTTTGATACGGCACAGTAACTCAGCCAAAAAATATTTTTTTCTCAGCCTCTGAAAAAAAATTTGGGTGGCCGAGTTTTCGCAGGTTACCTTGGTTACCAGGTTACTTTTTCATTAGATATGTATAAATACTAAGAAATAAATACTGGCTTCGGGCTGTTGTTGCAGACAGAAAAGCGCTTGCGCTTCGGCGGTAGTGATCTAATCACCCGAATACCACGTTTCGGATCGCTCCTCATCGCAAACCCTGTCAGCAGTTCACCTACGGGTATGTTCGTAAGAGCTACATACACTGAAAAACAATCTCTCTCTCTCTCTCTCTGAAAAACACTACGGCGCGCATGCGCGCAAGGTCTGCTAGTGACATAAAGGGCAGAAAGTGGGTCGGTTGTTTTTAATCTGGCTGCGCCACGAGCACGACGCTCCGGCTCCGGTGGTTTGCCTGTGTTAGTGCTAGCACGCGCCAGTCCGCACCTGTGTCCTGTGTCGAGCCTGTCCCTCTGTGTGACATACAAATTCTTTTCCGACATGGCAGTTGCGATGGCGCTTTCACACACCACACACACACTCTCTCTCCTCTCAACTCTCTCCCTCTCTCTCCCCTGAGACTCTCTCTGCTCGCTCCGCCCTCTCTCTCCCTCCCTCCCTCCCTCCCTCTCGCGCCCCCCCCCTCTTCTCTCCTCTCCCCCCCGCCCCCCTCCTCTCTCCCAGCTCTCTCCTCTCTCCTCCTCTCTCCTCCTCTCTCCTCTCCTCTCATCCTCTCCTCTTCTCATCTCCTCCCAAAACTCTTTTTCGTCGCTGGCTGGTGTGGTGGCTGGGCTTAGTTGTTTGCCACACACACGCACCCCTTTGGGGTCACAGCCCCCCCCCTCCCCCGCCGACCGCGATTTCTTTTCCTTGTCCTTTTCGCTTCTTGTTTTTAAAACTCCGTTTCTGGCTATGTTCTTTTTTCTGCCAGTGCGCGCCAGTCCCGTGCCCAGTGTTGTGCAAGGGAGTTCCTTCTAAAACTCTTTTGTTTTTAAAACCCCGCTCCTCGCTCCATATCCCATATGTTTCTTTATTTACACACGCACCCCTTTGGGGTTACAGCCCCCCCCCCCGCCCACGATTTCTTTTCCTTGTTCCGTTCGGTTCTTGTTTTTAAAACCCCGCTTGTCCCCCTGCATATGTCGTCTGATGTGTCACTGTGTGCGTCACATCAGTCTTGATAGCAAGCACGGTCGATCCGTCAAAGCGATACACTCGTTCCTATCACGTTGGAGGGCTGGCACAGAGAGCGACAAGAAGGCGTCCGCACAGCAAGCCGCTCGGTCGATCACGTTGCTCGCTCGATGCCGGCGTCCGGCATATGTTCTTTTTTCTGCGCGATATAAGCGCGCCGCCTCCCTGTTTGACCGCCTCTCTCCACCCGCCTCCCGCCTCACCACCACATCCGTTCCGCTAGCTCCCTGTCTTGAGCGGCACCTCCGCGGCACTCGCTGCGGCGGCGGATGCTCTATGCCAACAAGCAGGACGTTGAGGCGGACCTCCGCGTCCAGCTGCTGGCGATCCGTGAGCGAGAGCTCCGCTTCTACACGGCAAACTGCCGGACCATCGGCACGCAGGTGCCGCCTGCCTTCTCGCCCCTCGCTGCGCCCATCGCCCGCTGTGGAGCGGGCCTCACCCTCGTCGCTGTTCGCGCGCCTGCCCAGGCGTCCGTGTTTGCCGGCTTTGCGTTCGTCTGCTTCGAATACGGAGTGCGGTTCGAGGGGCGCGAGGTGGTGGGTCAACTCGACGACGCGCCCTCCCAGCCGCCTGCGGCGCCCTCCCAGCCCTACGCGCCGCCGTCCCCTCCGCCGCCGCCCGGCTTCCTGGCCGAGGCGTCGGCGACACCAGAGGCGCTGCGGGTGCTGTTTGTGCTGTGCGCGACGGCGGCGATGACGCTCAACCTGGGGGCGATGTTCTTTGCAAACTGCCTCGCCCTCTTCGGCCCGGGCCTCGCGCTGCGTGGCGACGGCGTCGAGGCGATGGACCGGGCGGTGGACGGACTCGCTCTCGAGTACCGGCTCGTCTTCCTCGCCTTCTTCCTCGGCACGCTCTCCTTCCTCGCGATCGCCTTCATCTACTCGCTGATGCAAGGAGACATCATCCTCTCCGTCTCTCTCATCTGCGTGCTGCTCTACCTGCTCCGGCACCCCCCCCCCCCCCCCCCCGTGCCGTCAAGCGGGATCAAGGGACTCGTCAGTGATCAGCATATCGGAATGGCAGGGACACCCTCCCCTACCCCACGGTACCCGAACCCACCCTCCCAATGGCAGGCACACCCTCCGCGCCTTCAAGCGGCTCTACAAGCGCTTCCGGCTCCCTCCCGCCCTCGCCCACTCTGGCAACTTCAACGCGCAGGACCGAGATCGCCCGAGATCACCCGAGATCACCCGAGGTCGCCCGCCACCGCCCTCTCACCCGCGCGGCCTCCCTCAGGATGGGTCACGCATGTTATATTATATTTATATTATATTATCTTATATTGCCTCGCCGCAGGACGGGTCACGCATGGTGGACCCGCTCGTGCAGGAGGCGCAGGTGGCGGCGCTCTCGCGGCGCGCACCAGCGGCTCGAGAAGCTCTGGACTCGTGCGTCGGAGTGATCTGAGGCCTCCTCCGCCAACAGGCACGCACAGTGGCTCGAGAAGCTCGCGCAGCGCAAGCGGTGCCTCGACTGGCCGCTGCGGCAGTATCTCTACCTCCGCCTCTTCTTTGACGACTTTGTCGGCGTGTCGGCGGAGGTCTTCGAGCTGCGCTACCGCGGCCACGCCACCGCGCCGCGCGGCGCGGGCGACGCGATGACGAGCAAGGTCCTGCAGGCGAACCCGTTGGGCCGAGGGCGGGGAGGGACACGTCCACGACACGTCCACTACACGTCCACGACACGTCCACCATATGCCCACGACACGCCCACGACACGCCCACGACACGCCCACGACACGCCCACGACACGCCCACGACACGCCCACGACACGCCCACGACACGCCCACGACACGCCCACGACACGTCCACGACACGCCCACGACACGCCCACGACACGCCCACGACACGCCCACGACACGCCCACGACACGCCCACGACACGCCCACGACACGCCCACGACACGCCCACGACACGCCCACGACACGCCCACGACACGCCCACGACACGCCCACGACACGCCCACGACACGCCCACGACACGCCCACGACACGCCCACGACACGCCCACGACACGTCCACGACACGCCCACGACACGCCCACGACACGCCCACGACACGCCCACGACACGTCCACGACACGCCCACGACACGCCCACGACACGCCCACGACACGCCCACGACACGCCCACGACACGCCCACGACACGTCCACGACACGCCCACGACACGCCCACGACACGCCCACGACACGCCCCCCAAGCGCTCGAGCTCAACAACAACAATAGCAGTCAGAGTGGTCCTACTCCTAATCGTGAGAATGGTAATCACCAAAGGCGATCGAGCTCAACCGCTGCTCCGAGGGCGCCGCCGTCGACTACTCGCCGCACGTGCAGCGAGCGCTGAGCCAGGCGAGCCTTAGCAGAGCCTCAGCGTTTTGCGGGGTCGTCCACTCACTCACCCACCCCTCAGCGTACCTCAGCAGTGTACCGTGCTCAGCCCAGGCGAGCGGAGGCGACGCCGACGACGCGGGCGGAGGCGGTGGTGGCGGTGGTGGCGGCGGCGGCGCGCCGCGCGCCGCCAGGGCGGGCGGGGCGGGCGCGCGGCGCAAGCTGCCGATGCGGCGCGTCCCGGGCGAGGAGAGGCGGCGTCCTCTCTCGGAGCATTCCTCGGAAGCTTCCCGGAGCCTTCCTGTAGGCGCCAGCCGAGCGAGGAGGGCCGGCGGGGCCTGCTCGGCGGCGGCGACGTGCCGAGCGACGCGTACCGGCAGAGCAGCTTGAGTAGCGCATACCCTCCGACCGAGCTCTCGCTGCTTGGGGGAGGGGGCGCCGCCGGCAGCCAGGACGGCGGGGGCAGCAGCTCGCAGCACGCAGCCTGCAGCGCCGGGCGTTGGCCGGGCGGGTGCGCGACCGGCCCGCACCAGGCCGGCTGCTTCTCGCCCTCCCAGCTCCTCTCGACCGAGTCGCCGACGGCGTCGGAGGAGGACAGCGTCAAGCCCAGCCGGCCGCGGAGGTGGGACATGGGAGGGTGGCTGGTGGAGCGCGGGGAGCAGCTGCTCCAGAAACTGTGATCGAATCGTAGTATTGGGATTTGGGTAATGTGTGTGGACTTGTCACTTGAGCCTCTATGATTAGTAGCCCGTGGTTGCGCAGCGCTCTCGGAGAGGCGAGTGTGGGCGACTGACTGTCTGGTATAGCCCCAGCCCACTCCGCGTGAACTCTCGAGGGATCTCGAGTTGTTGCGGAGCTCCCAGCTCCTCGGTACGAACTCTGTTCACACCGAGCGGGCGCTCCTGGGTTCCAACTTTTTCCGGGGTATGGTATGGTATGCTCGCGGCCCAAAGGGTGGGGGGGTATGGTCCTGACCGCCCGAGGCCGGCAGCCGGGAGGCTGGGTCTGTCAGCAGGCGGGGGCTTATGGTCCCGAGGTGGGTTGCGCGATGATACCATACCATACCCCGCAAAAAGTCCGAACCCTGCAATAGCCGATCGGCACACGCGAGCCACAGGGACATGCCGCGCGTGCTCTCGCTGGCTGCTCTGCTGGGTATTGTCTACCTCACCAAACCCTCCAGGAACTCCTTTGTGCGCGCGCTTCGTGTGTGGCTCCGCAAGCGCAACGGGGTGCTTGGCGAGACCCTCGCACGGGGGGCGCTTGCGGTTGACGCGCTCTCCGGGCCGAGCAATCTCGTGCAGGACTTCACCTTCTTTACAGTTGTCCAGCTGAAACCCACGGCCGAGGAATCCGCCCTGGCGACGCTGTTCGAGAATGACGATTTCTTTGGAGCTGTCGGCGTAGCTGGCCACTGGATCGGCGTTCGGGTGCCATCGGAGACGAATGGCCGGCCCAGCGCACCGAAGGTCTTCTATCTGGGTTCCGCGCTCGACTAGCGTCTTTTGTCGCGTTTTTTGTACCTGTTTGTTTTTCTATAGTCAGTTTCACTGGAGTCAGTGCACAGTGGTCAGAAGAGAGAAGAGAGAAGAGACAGGGTAGGCTCCGCCCCACTGTGATTCGGACTGGGCGACGGCAGGACCCCCGTGGCGCCCATATTAGCGCTCCCAGCGGCGCCACCAGGGCCATGGGGGTGTAGGGGCTTCGGGTGACTACGAAACATGTAATATTTAGACACCACCCCGGTCTCGTACCCTCAGACAGAGCCCAAAATCGCTCCGCGGGACGGGCCGGCACGGAGGCGGAAGACGCCTCTCACTCGCCGACAACGCGAAGATTGAGGCATGTGCACGGCTCTTCGAGCGCCTTTTCCATCCGATCGCGTAGCTCGGTTGGGTCCCAGTCGAACTTGGGCCTCTCGCCGCTGCAGCAGTCGTGGCCGCGGTCGAAGAAGGCGAACCGCTGGTGGTCGCACACGTCCTTCTCCTCGTCCGGCTCGGTGGGCGGGCGCCACCCGGCGCCGTACGCCGTCTCGACCATCATCCACCAGCCCTGGTACAGCCGCTCCGCGCAAAGCGCGGCGAGCCTGAAGTTGCTTTCGGCGAGCGAATGAGCCGCCTCGGCCGAGCGGGTCCGATCGAACCACAGCCTGGTATGCGTGAAGGCCGTTGTTTCGACGGACTCGGATCGGTTTTTCATCTCCCACATCTTGTTTTCGAGGTCCTCCACCTGCTTCTCGAGCTCGCGGACGCGGCTTATGAGGAACTCGGTCGCGAGAGGGTCGCGGGGCGGGCGGCTGCTGCTCCCGCCGCTCGCCACGACCCGATCCACGAACCCCTTCACCTCGTGATTCCCGATCACGCTAGGGGGGGAGCGGGTCGGCGCAGCGGGCAGAACTAGCGCTGGGGTGCTCGCCGCCGGGAGGAAGCCTGGGTACACGGCGCCGCGCCGCTCCACCAGGTCGATGACGCGCTCCATGACCGCCGCCACCTGGCGATCCTCGTCGGCCTTGCGAGCCGCCCGCGCCTCTGCCTGTAGGCCGGCCGCATCAGCCGCCCTCAGCGCTCGCAGCCTAGTGACGACTCGCGCGCCGGCGCTCTCCGCCTCGTCACGCAGCAGCAGCGGCGCGCCAATCATGTCGCACAGGAGCATCGCCATCGCCTTTTTTCTCGATATCTTCTGCGACTGCAGGAAGGTGATGTTCCGCTCGACGGCAAACACCGCCTCGATGGCATCCTCAGCGCACAGCATCATCTCGTAGGTGACCTCTGCGGCTATCTGCGGAAGCCCAGAGGGGCCACCCTGACCGCGATTGCCGAAGATGACGATCTCGGCCCGCATAAAGAGCTCTCGGCGGGTCAGAGCCAGAGCCGCCAGGCGAGCAGTCCCATAAGCGTCCAGGGAGAGGCCAGCAGCCTTGTCTGCAAGCTGCTCGGCGCCGGGCGGCGCTCGGCCTGAAGGTGGAGGACAGGCAGATCTTGCGATACGAATCGAGTGCGGTTGGGTACGGGTCGATACTAAGACGTACTAGAGGCGAACGGCGGGAGCGCACGCCTGACGCCCAGACGAAGCCATCGGGCTCACAGCGCAGCTCAGCCATAGACGTCGCTCAAGAATGAAGGAGCAGCAACGAAAGTCGGAAGAGGAGGATGCTGAGGCGGCGATTGCTAAGCATGAAGAGGATCGATAGCCCGCCGCAGGCGAAGAAAATTTGGGGGCTGCGCCGTATCGTTGATCACGGTGGAGGAGCCTCCTGGCCCCAGGCCGTGCCACGGCCGACTTAGCCGATGTAAGAGGCTCCCGCTGATCTTAGACCGCGCAAGCACTCCAGCGTGGCTAGCCACACTTAGACCCGTTCAGCCTCGAGGCTCAGAACTTAGACTACTACCCAACCAGTGGATGGGTGATGCTGAAATGGGTCGACTCGCTTGCTCGTTGTTGTGGCTTTGAGTTTATGCGCTTGCAGCCCCGCGCGTGTGTGCCGTGACCCGTGTATGTCCGTATGTGCCGTTGATCGGGCGGGCCGCGTGAAGCCTGGCGCCCAAACACGGGCAGTACCAGGGCAGTACTCGATCGCCCGACGCATCACACATCCCATGCTCCTCAGTCGAGCGCCATCTCAGGCGGCAGAACCGTGCCGCCCGCGGCCGGGGGATCGATCTGCATCTCGCCCATCGTCGCCCCCTCCAGCAGGGATGCGAGTTGCAGCACGGGAGACGCGTCGCGATCGCTGGTGACGCCAGCAGCGCCAGCGCCGCCAGCGCCGTCAGCGCCGCAAGCGCCGTCAGCGCCGCCAGCGCCGTCAGCGCCGCCAGCGCCGTCAGCGCCGCCAGCGCCGTCAGCGCCGCCAGCCACGCCGAGTGCACCGGTCTGCGCGCCGGCCCGCGTGCCATCCTCGTCGTCCGCATGGGCGCGGGCGAGGGTCTCTGCGATGCGGCTGACGGCGGCGCGACACCTGCCTGTCGCTTGAGCGAGACTGCGGCGCGCCGCGCTGACCTCGGCGAGGATTGTGCAGTCCGCAAAGCCGGCCGCTGCGGGAGGGTCCTCGATGCCGACCATCCCCAGCTCCTTCAGCGCCTCTTGGAAGCGAGGGAGGTACTCCACGCACAGATCGTAGGAGTCTTCGCCGACGCCTGCCCGGTCGATATCCCGCCAGTACTCGTCGGACGCACGTTGGAAGCGCTCGACGACCAGACCCGCCATTTGGCAGTCTCGGCGCACGCTCTCCGCAGGGCCGCCCCCGTGTGATTCGGAGGCGACGACGCGGCGGTGTTGACACGGCGGGCGTGCAGATTCCGCCGAACCTCTGTGCGTGGCTCTCCGCGTGCGGGAGCTTGCTTTTCGTCGCCGTCTTCAGAGCACGAGTCGTCGGAAGACAAAGAGCGCATGCGGGCGCGGAAGACAAAGAGCGCATGCGGGCGGGAGCAGCTCGCTTCGCCAAATTGCAATTTCGCCAGGGAAAGAATTTTTCCACGCCCATACACACACACACTGCGTTTGTGCCCCGTTTGTGCCGCGTCCCGTGCCCCCGAGTTCATTTTATAAATCCCCGGGCCCGATATCGCACGAGAGCACGCCGCGTTTTTTGCCAAATACACTCCTCTTTCTCTCCCCCTCTCCCATAAGTCATTGCAGCCTTGGAGCAAGTGCCAGCACCGCACATCCCTAGGTCGGAGTCAGAATCGGTTGGGTGTCCGCGCGGGGCGCGACTTGCTCTCGGCCGTGTTCATGAAAACAAGAAAAAGACGACCCATAATCGCGACACGCCAACAAGTCCCCAAAGGCGTCTCTCCATGTTTGCTGCCCTGTCTCTTTGCGCTCTCGCTTCCCTGCCTCCACCGTTGCCGCCGCCGCCCTCGCCGCCGCCTCCGTCCCCGCCGCCGCCGTCGCCGCCACCACCTTCACCGCCACCGTCGCCTCCTCCTCCGAGCCCGCCACCGAGAGCGCCACCGCCGCTGCCGCCGCCACCACCGTCGCCTCCGCCGGGCTGTTCAGACTCGTGCGCCTTCAGCAACGACGGTTCATGCGACGATGGCGGGCAAGGCTCGACCAACTCGGCTTGCGCTCTCGGCACCGACTGCAACGACTGTGGCGGGCCTGAGAACGCTTACACTCGTCTCAACAACCCGCTTCCGCCCGACGTCCCGTCCCCACCGGCGCCCCCACCGTTGCCACCGTCGCCACCGCCGCCACCAGCGCCACCGCCAGTTCCATACCCACCAAAGCCGCCGCCGTTGCCGCCCCTCCTTCCGCTCTCTCCGGGCGAGGTCTTTGTGAGTGGCAACGCCGCCTTACAGCTGGCCGTCCGGGAAAACACGACAGACATCTACCTGCAGCCCGGCGCGAACGTCAGGCTCAGCCAGTCTCTCGTCCTTGACGGAGTAGACGTCACCATCCGCAGCTCAGGCAGCATCACTGGCGCCACCATCGACGGCACCGACGCTTTGGACAGTCTCTTTATCATGAAAAACAAGGCAACGCTCTCGTTGGAAGGGCTCGTCTTGGCGAATTGCCAGGCGGAAGCTGATGGCGGTGCGGTCCGCATGGATGACTCCGACGCGAGCTTGCGTGACGTTCGCATACAGGACTGCTACGCTGGGAACTCTGGCGGAGCCATTTACGCCGCCAGAGGCAGCTTGCGACTGGAGTCGGTGGAGATAACGCGCTGCAGCACTGGGATTGATCCAGAAGGCGAGAACGCCCAGGGCTGGGGCGGGGCCATCCGGATTGTCAAGGTTCCCCAGGTGGAGCTGAGCGAGGTCAACATTACCGGCTGCAGCGCAGTCAAGGGTGGGGCTCTGTACATTGACGGTGGGGCGGACGGCGAGACCACGCTGAACCGGGTCCGTCTCGCAGACAGCACTGCCACCGAAGAAGGCGGCCTCGTCTACATTTCGAGCGGGCGCCTGACGCTGGAGAACGGGACCCTTCTGGAGAGCGGAACGGCAAGCCAAGGGAGCTCGATCGCATTCAGCGGCGCGCCCGAGGTGACCTACCGCCTGCCTTTGCCTCCCGGGCACTGGATCCCGCACTCGACATGCGAGATCTACCGGCAGCTTCCTGCCGACTGTGCGGGCGACGTCTGCCGGGGTCTATTCGACAAGTGCAAGACCGAGACGGACGCGCAGAACGACGAGTGCAAAGAGTTCCCCGTCGCCTTTGTTCAGCCCTGCAACTGGGAGGCGACGCCCACTCTCCTCGGCGTATCTCTGTACCAAGTGCCGACCTCTGCCCTCGATGTCGACCTGCCGTACGCCTGCGCCCCTGGCATTCTAGGCTCGAGCGATGCCGAGGACCAGAAGTCGGCCTTCTGCGCCGGCCTCTGCCCCGTGGGCCAGCGGTGCCCCGAGGCCGCCACGACGGAGCCCCGCCCGTGCACCGAGGGCAACTTCTGCCCGGCGGGGACGAGCGTGCCTCGGCCGTGCCCCGAGGGCTCGTACTCGGCCGCGACGAACCTGACGAAGGAGGACGAGTGCACGCAGTGCCCGGTCGGCTCCACCTGCCCGGCGGGCAGCACCGTCCCCGACCCTTGCAACGACGGCACGACGACGTACGGCCAAGGGTCCACGGCGTGCGACGTGTGCGACGAGGACTTCTTCCTCGTCCTAGGGGAGGCCCAGGCCTCCACCAAGGCGTGCAAGTCGTGCCCGGCCCCGCCTTCCTCTCCGCAGGGAGGCGTCGTGTCCTTCACCTGCGGAGTCGACACACGCATCGGCGCACTCTACGTGCCGGGCAGAGGTTGCCTGGAGCCTTCCCTGAAGCCTCTCGGAACCTTCCCTGTAGGCTCGCTCAACGTGTCGAGCGGCTGGTGGCGCGCCTCGAACGCGTCGTCAACGCTGTTTGCGTGCAAGGTTCCTTCCATCGCCGCCTCCACCCCTTCTACCCCTCCGCCCTCGCTGCCACCCTCGCTGCCACCTCAACTCTCCTCCCTCGCTGCCGCAGGTGATGGGCGACGAGTGGAGCCCGTGCCGCGGCGGCGTCGACTCGTCGGAGGGTGGCAACGCCCTCTGCCACCCCTTCTACGAGGGCCCAAAGTGCGAGGTCTGCACCAACACGACCGACAACGGCATCCGCTACTTCCTCAACTCGAAGGCGCGCTGCCAGGCGTGCGACCGGCCGGCGGAGTCGGTGATGCTGCTCGTCGGTCTGCTCTTCACGGCGGGCGCTCTCGGCCTCGGCACTCTAAAGGTGATCCGCAGCTCGTGGGTCCCGTCGGGCAAGGTGGCGCGTGCGCTCGTCCTTCTCGGGCGGCGCATGGCGCTGCTGTGGAAGCAGGCGGGGATGCTATGCAAGACGAAGCAGCTGATCAACCTCTTTCAGGTAGTCGCAGTCGTGCCTGCAGTGTACGAGGTCGAGCTGCCGCCGCAGCTGAGCGAGTGGGTCAACCTCTTCAATGCCGTCTTTAATGCCGCAGTCTTCGACCTCGATCTTTTCCTACCGCCCGAATGCTACGGCTCCTACCTCACACGCCTCATTGCCTGGGGGCTTTGGCCTGTTGCGCCCATCCTCCTCGCGATCCTCGGCAGCTGTGCCTGGGAGCTCGTTGCTGAGGTTCGCCACAGCGCAGCTACGAGCAGTGCAAATTCGACCCGTGCTGCGCTTTGGCGCGGCTTTTTGCGTGTGCTGCCGCTCATCTTGATCCTACAATTCTTGCTGGTCACCTCCACCAGCACGCGCATCCTCCGCACCTTCAACTGCATCGAGTTTCCGACGCGGGACGCGGTCCTCGCGGGGGGGCAGGAACCGTACCGCGCCTACCTCGCCGACGACCTCTCCCTCGACTGCAGCACGCCGGAGTACGCCACGGCGCAGCGGTGGGCGTACGTGCTGCTCTTCGTGTGGCCCATCGGCGAGATGCGCCGAGATGAGATGCGGCTGAGATGCGCCGAGATGCGCCGAGATCCGCGAAGACTCGCGGAGACTCGCTCGCCCCTGCTATCGTCCCAACACCGCCCCAATGTTGTCCTAACACTGTCCTCAACACTAGCCCCTTCCCCTGCCCTTCCCCCCTTCCCCTGCCCTTTCCCCCCCCCGGTCGGACACCCCCCCTCCCCCCCCCCCCCGACCCGGCCAGGCGTGCCGCTACTGTACCTCGGCTTGCTGCTCGCCTCACGGCGCGACATCATGACGCGCCAGTCGACACCTCTCTTGCGTGCGACCGACTTTCTCTGGAGGGACTACGAGGACAGCGCCTTCTACTGGGAGCCGCTCGACCTCGTCCGCAAGCTGACGCTGACCGGCTTCGTGCTCATAAATACACAGGGCTCGAAGCAGCTCCGCGTCATCATCGCGCTGCTCGTCTCGATGCTCTTCCTCACCCTGCAGTACGTCCTCTCGCCGTACAAGCGCAACCTCGACGGGCGGCTGGCCATGTTCGCCAATATCGGCCTCGTCCTCGTCTACCTCGCCACGCTGACCATCAACTCGTGCTCGCTGCTCGAGACGGACACACAGACGTGCGCCGACGAGTTTGGGCTGAGCCAGCTCGGGCTGTCGTACATGTTCCTCTCCTTCACCACCGCCCTCCTCGGAATTGGGCTCATCCTCGTTCTGTGGCTCTACACAGCGGCAAGCCGCGCACCCACCTTCCGACTCGTTAGCAGCGGGCGCGAGCCGCTGCGAGACGGAGGGACGCTCCCGGAAGGCATACGGTGGCACCTATTTCTGAGCCACATCTGGTCGACGGGGCAAGACGCGGCCGCGGTGATCAAGAACCAGTTGCGGTTGCTTCTGCCTGGTGTCGAAGTCTTCCTCGACGTGGACGACCTTGAGAGCATCGCCGCTCTGGAGGAGTACATCTCGAGCTCTCGTGTCGTGCTTCTGTTCCTATCACGGGGCTACCTTCGCTCGGTGAATTGCCAGCGCGAGGTGCGTGCTGCTTTAGCTAACAACAAGCCCATTGTGCTCGTTCAGGAGGTGGATCCGGAGAAGGGAGGCGGTGCACTGGCCGAGCTCCGCGCGGAGTGCCCCGCTGAGTTGCAGAATGGAGTCTTCGACAATCGTCAGCCAATCCCTTGGCATCGGATTCGTGAGTTCCAGCTCGTCTCCCTAAAGCTGATTGCCGAAGCGACGCTACTGCAGACGCCAAGATACTGCGGGAAGAGCAACCTGCCGCTTTACCTCCCTGGTGAGCTCCGTAGTGAGGGCCTTAGCTTCACGCAGCCACTCATTCTTTGGACATCGACCGCAAACCGCGGCGCGCGAGCTCTAGCCGAGGAGCTACGCGTTGCGTTCCCCCGCATCGTCCTCACCGAAGTTCCACCTCCAGGGCTTCTCGATAAGCAAGAGAGCCAGGCGACCAATGCGCTTCAATGGCTCAGCCGTCGAGTGAGTAGTAGCAGCATCAATCAAGACGGCTCCAACGGAGAAGCTACCCATATGCTGCTCTACCTCAACTCGTCAACCTGGTCTGACGAGCTGCTAGCGAAGCAAGTCACAGCGGCGCGCGCGGCCAGACTGCCCATCATCATGGCTCATGAGAGGGACCCAGCACGAGGCGGGTGCCTCTTTGCGCGCATGTTCGAAGTTACGCCTCAGCAGCTGATCGTCGACGGCCTCTACAAGAACCTCGCGCGCTCGTGCTTTCCCGATCCGCACCGCGGGGTACACATGAGTACAATCCTTTCTCAGCACCCAAGTATCTATCATGAGGGTCCCCGGCAACGTTTCAATAGGTGTCGCACATGCTCCTGGCTAAGGACCTCGGTGCGAGGACGCGAACGTGCGTGGCACAGCTTTGCAACCACGCGATCTTTCCTCACGCAGCGACGAGACCCCGGCGGGGGCGGCCCATCGCCGAGGGAACAGAGATGCACCAGACACGAGTGTCGATCCATCATATCTCGCAAGGCGCTGACGTGTAAGGGAAGGCGGTCTGGACACCAACACACAAATTTATTCTGCGGAGATCGTAGTGTCTGAGGTGTATCGGTATCGGATACCGTGGTCACGTCCGGTCCAATTGAGTGTACGGCTTTATGAGACGGTTAGGTTTCTTGCCGCCGTCCCTGGGCAGGGGCGCGCCCCGCGAGCCTGACTGTTCTTCACCTTCCTACCTACCTACCTGCCCCGCACACAGCGGGTCCCCAAGGGTGAATCTCTCTGTGGCATGGAGGTCTGCGACCCCCGGGGCCCCGACCGAGCGAAATTCATATCACTCACTAGCTGACGTCGAGAGCTTCGTTTGCATGTATGTTGAATGAAGCCTACGAGTCCCTGACAAATGTGTGTCGCGTGCAGTTGCGCGCCTTGGGGTTGTTCTGCGGGGGGGGGGGTATAGCGGAAAGGAAAAATAAAATCCAAGCACCAAGGAAAATCCGCGCTGATTTGCAACGAAAAACAACTTAGTGTCCGCCGCAACTGGTGGTGACGTTGCCGGCTCCCACCGGCGAATCTGGTTTTCAATCTAAATCTCCGGCGAACCATTTCGTGAGGCCTTACAGTCTGTTGCGGGCATTAAAGGCCTATTTCCAGCTTGGGGATTTGCGCCGACCGTGCGTCATTGGGACTCGTGGCGCCTCCCAGGCCCGCCGCAGCGGTCCCATGGGTACCTGCCGTCCGTACCGGTCCACGGGCTGGCCCTGGGCACATTCGGACCGAACTCGCTGCGCAATCCGGTCTCGGTATTGCTGTCGGCGGCCGGCAGCCCTCGGGGGTCGAGTCGCAGGATGTCGCAAAACTTTGCCACACGTGCTCGAGCGTCGAGCTTCCGGTGTCCCCAGTCGCAACTACCTCCGGCGAGGTGGCTGACGTTGCACAATCACATCGGTGGCGCATGCGGAGAGCACCAGTGCTCTTTCGGTGGGCTGTCGTGGGGTGGTGCACGACACGCATTGAGAGGAGCCGAGAGAAGCAGCGGCTGTGGGGCTTCCACGGCTGCCAAAGGGTGGTTCACGACTACTCTGAGCAGGGCTGTGCTTTGGTGGGGTTGTGCTTGAGCATGTGTGAAGTGGGAGTGCGTGCCGGCGGTGTCTGTGGGTGAAACGGGCGTGTATGAGGCCGTAAGAGCCGTGGTATGAGCCAGAGTGGGCTGCATCACCCAAAATAAGGACGGTTTGGGACAGCTCAGACTTGATACTGATGGGACTGGGCCAGGTGAGCGACAGAGAAGGCGAGGTGGTGAGCTGGGAAGCCGCTTTGTCGGCACCTGGACGTGTCGCGATGAACTGCCGAAAAGCACCTTTTGCGGCTGTTGCTCGAAACTTCGGGAGACAAGGCCTACATATTATGACTGCATCGATGCGCCTGGTGCATGAGGGCTGCGGGTCGGGACATTTCACGGTCGGTGGCGCCGGTGATGGCCTCCGGAATGCCCTCGCAATCGCCGTCGCGACAAGGAACTGCAGACCGAGGCCGCCATGGGCACCGCCGTCGGCACCGAGATGGCGTCAGATGTCAAGGGCGCGCTCGGCAGCGTGTTTGGCCGCCGGCAGCTCGTGCTCGACCACGAGGACGTCTCGCTAGTCAAGGTCGCTGTTGCCCCCGCCGCGGTCAAGGCGGCCGTGGAGGGTGCAGAGGCGGTCGCCAAGACGAACGAGGCGTCGGCGGGGCTCGAGGCGAAGGCTGCTGCCGCGCACACGATCAAGAGCATCTTCGTGGGCGACGACAGCGAGGATGACGCTGAGAAGGTGCGCGAGAGCACGTGCGCGAGCAGGTTCAGGAGCAGAGTATCATCGCGCTCGCGCAGGCGGTGAGCAGAGTCGAGCAGGATCGCGAGGCGGACAAGAGGGGGCAGCAGGCGCAGCGATGCTCCGGTCCGGCGTGCAGCCTGGGCCTGTCTACCAGCGGCCCTGTCTTCGAGAGGGCGCCACCCACGACCCTGCCGCCGCCCGGGGCTTGCATTCCACGAAGTGCACAGGCGGGCCGTGGCTGTGCGCCGAGCATGGCTGCCCTTCAATCGCGGTCAGCTGCGAGCAAATCGCCGCGGGAGAAGCATGCCTGAAGCCGTTTTCGACGCTCTGGGACACGCCCCCGCCGGGTGTGGGCAAGGATATTGTGGGAACCCACTGCCCCCGCTCCTGTGCCGCGGCGGCTGGCGTGGACTGCCGGGCGTGGACGAACCTAGCGCGGAAGGAGCAGGATGCCTTCGCCCTTCCGGGCGAGCGGGCTGGACAGCGAGGCCGTGTGGGCTGGCTGGGATGGGGCCTGGGTGAGCTTGAGTCTGAAGGCCAGGAGGTGGTCGGGCGCATCTAGGCACTGTGGTGGAGAGAGGGGGGAGGGGGATGTAGTCTCGTGTCTGCATGGATGTGTGCATGACATGCGCATGCGCATGCGCACATGCATACATGCTACGTTGTGCGTACATGTATGCATTATTGTGAGAGTGTGGCATTGTGGGTGTGTAAACACCCACATGCCACACATATATGTGCATCTCCATGGGGCTTCGTGGTGAGCATTACGGCTTTACCTTGTCATTCAGCAACAGCATGTGTCTATCGATTGTTTGCTTTGAAAATTGGAACAGTACGGTATGTAATCAACCATGCGCATGCCACCACCTATACCCCTTACTTACTACTGACTTACGACGCCACCTCCCACACGCGCACGTACTCCATGCTGGCGCGGTCTAGCTCCCCATTCTTCCGGAAGCGGTTGATGTCCTTGGCACCGCCGAGCGACACGCCGGAGCCGAACGCCAGGTTGAAGATGAGGAACATCGGGTTCCTCGGGTCGTCAAACGGAGCCCAGAGCCCGTCCCCGAACTCGCCGCCCCACCATCTCCCATTGTGAATCCGCATCCGCACCTGCCCGCCCCCGTTCCACGCCTCGGCGACAGGCCTCTCATTGACGAACCACGCGATCTTGTTTGGCATCTTCACCCAGCGGTAGTCGTTGTAGCCGTGTGGGTCGTACGTGCCGTCGGCGTAGGCGCCCTCGTTGTAGGACACCTGCGACGGGCGGGGAGAGCGGCGTGTGTCCTGGGTGTGTCGGGGTCGGGCCGGCGCGAGGGGAGCTGTCGATGAGCGGGGGAGGGCGTCTCGGAGAGAGCTCGCCCAGGCTTGCTTGTTTGCCCTCGCCGCGGCAAAGTCGCCCGGGACGGAGTGGTAGGAGTGGAGGGTGAAGGCGGGCCTCATCGCGTCTCCCACTCCGTCCTTCCACTTTGACCACTGCGTCGACGTCGTCCACATCTCGGTGATCTCCGACTCGCCGCAAAAGGGCCACCCTCGCGAGCCGACCTGCGGGCGGAGGGGGTCCGGCCTCGGGGTTCAGGGGTCGCCTCTACCACCACTGCCCTCGCGAGCCGACCTGCGTGCCGAGCGCCCAAAAGGCGCTCCACGAGTAGTCGTTCCGGTCCGCGAGCTTGACCCGCGCCTCGACCACGCCGTGCAGGACCTCCACCTATAGAGATGCGACGCACTCACCTCAACCCAGACGAGTCCCGCGCCCCCGACCGCGCCGTGCAGGTGACACACACACACCTTGTCCTTTGTGTTGATGCGGCCCGAGAAGAAGCCTGTCGGATGGCGGGCGGCGCTCCGCTCGCAGATGGATCGGCCCGCCGGCTCCGTGCTGTACCTGCATGCAAAACATTGTGGGCGGTGGGTTGAGACAGGTTGAGAGCACAGGGGGGCAGTCTGCCGCGCGCCTCAGCTCGTCGGCGTTGCACCTGAAGGTGCGCAGAGGTGCGCGGGTGAGGTGCGGTGGAGCTGAGAGGGGGAGTCTCACTTGGGGCGGCTCCTCTCCGGCGCAAGGCGGGCGGGTGGGCGTTCCAGGCAAGTGGCGGGCTAAGGGAGAGGCAAGTGGCGTGGGACTGAGGGAGAGAGGCAAGCGTGACGCTCGAGCGGCCCGCCTGGCGCCCTGTGCGCTTGTGCGCGACGAGTCGTAGTAGAGCTTGAGGTGCACCTGAGCTCGGCGGATCTCGGCGAATCTCGGCGGATCTCGGCGGATCTCGGCGGATCTCGGCGGATCTCGGCGGATCTCGGGAGGAGTCTGCTGCACAGCTTCAGCGGCACACCTTCCCTCCCGACACCTCCACCCCGTCGCGCACGTAGAACTGCTCCTGCGGGCCGTGTGCGGGGCGAGAGGAGTCGGGCGGGAGGAGGCGAGAGGAGTCGGGCGCGCGCACTCGGCTGGTCGGGCCGTGACACAGCCGCGTGCGTGGTGTGTGGGCGGTGTGTGGGCGGTGGTGTGGGCGGTGGTGTGACTGCCGTGGTGATTCACGGTGAGGGTGGCTGTGACAGCGGCCGTCATCAAGCCCACCCGAGACTCTGTGACGCGGCATATGACGCGGCATATGACGCGGCGCGCGCCTCGTCGCCATCGCCGCGAATCCCGTCGTTCCGCACCTCGACGTTCCACTTTGCCTCGTCGAGGTAGCCTACTCTCGGCGGACCTCGGCTGGCCTGTGGCGATCTCGGGGAGATGCTCCACGCTCTGCTCGTCGGGTGAGCCCGACTCGAAGCCGTCCTCGTACTTGAGCCGGCAGCGACGGCCGTACGAGAGACACGGGTCGAGGAACTCGGGCGGCGGCGGCGGCGGAAGCGGCGGCGGCGGCGCTGTCGGTGGCAGCCGCGGAGGCGCGGGCGGCGGCGGCGGCACTGCAGGCGGCGTCGGCGGCGATGGCGGTGCCGGCGGCCCTCTCGGCGGCGCCGGCGGCGATGGCGGCGGCGGAGGCAGCGGGGCGGGACGCTCCTTGCAGACACGGGATCACAGCGGGCCGGGGTATCGGTTAGTGTTGGGTCAGGGGCCGGGTCGAGGGGCCGGGTCCGAGGGTTAGGGGTTGAAGACACACCTTGGTCAGGCAGAGGACCGGGTGCATCAGCGGCACGGCCGACGTGATCTCCGCGCGGTGCAGCTCGCCTAGGGCCACAGGTCAGGGTCAGGGCCAGGGCCAGGGTGGCAGGGTGACGTGATCTCCGCGCGTGCAGCTCGCACAGCGAGTGCGACCGCTCCGGCCGCCGCTCGTGTACGTGTGGTGCTCGATTGCCACACAGGCGAGGCGCGAGGCGCAGCGCTCCTTGCACGCCTCCACGGACGTGTCGTAGACGTCGTCGAAGGAGCCCTCCCCGCCTGAAGCGGTGCGACATGCTCCGCTCGACTTGCCGCCACCGGGCCCGGCCCAGACGAAGGACGGGACCAGCTTTGCTGCCGCAGCGGCGCCGGCTGGAGCGCAGGCGCCACACTCAACGGGGAACTCCGTGCCTGCAATTCGCTGGCACGCCTCCGCCTCGCCCATCCCGCGGTTCGCGCGCAACCACTCGATACGCGCACCGCACGTGAAGCTGCCGCCGCGGTTGGTCGCGTATCGCCGGAGTGCGGCGCCCGTGCAGGTTGGGCCGCAGGGCGCGCGCGCGACGTGACAGAGGGTCGCGAGGAGAAGCAAGCGGCGGTCCGAGCATCTCTCCATTTTGGCTCAGACGAATGTGCAGCCGGACAGATCGCGACAACACGTCCGCACACATGCAAAACAAGACCACTCAGCAAAACTGTGAACAGCGCCTCAGCAATCACGACACAAAACTCGATCCTCCAGGGCCTCTCTCTTGGCCTGTATAGGAATTCCTATACTTTTCCGGCAAACAAAAAGGAAAACAGAGGGTCCCCAGCACTTTGCGTTTCCGGAAATTTCCAGGGAAAACAGAGGGTGTTTGGAGCTCCATTAGGGTGCCCACAGGACCCAAAAGAAAATAGCTTTCCGGCTCAAAAAGGGACGCACGAGAGGCAAATCTGATGTTGGCCAGTTCCAATAGGAGCGAGGCCTCTTCCGTTGGGGGACCGAGTTCATAGGAAACGAGGGTTTCCCATTGTGTCCCGCTCCAGCGCGAGCGTGACACCGCACTTGGCGCCGAGCGCCCGCGGCTCAGACCTTGTGCAGGCCACCCCTCGGTGACCACGCCGGTCCGGACCGATGGCGCTCGGTGTGGAGCAAGCAAGACCCCCCCCCCCACTGGCGGACTGACCTGCAGGGAGGACGGTGTGTACCACTGACTGACTGGCGGACTGACCTGCAGGGAGGACGGTGTGTACCACTGACTGGCTGCGGACTGACCTGCAGGTTGATGACGTCGTCGAGGAGCTGGGGAGATACAGATATGGGGAGATATGGGGAGATATGACCTGCAGGTTGATGACGTCGTCGAGGAGCTGGGGAGATACAGATATGGGGAGATATGGGGAGATATGACCTGCAGGTTGATGACGTCGTCGAGGAGCTGGGGAGATACAGATATGGGGAGATATGGGGAGATATGACCTGCAGGTTGATGACGTCGTCGAGGAGCTGGAACGCCAGCCCGAGGGCGAGGAAGTAGTCGCCGAGGGCAGCCTCCTGCGTCGACCACTCCTTCGTCTCAGTGACGGAGTGAGTGTGTGTGAGTGATTGTGTGTGGGCTGCTCCGAGGGGGCCCTCTGTGCGATCCGACGGGTAGGGGGGTTGTGCCCGGGCGGTGTCCGGTGTGGAGTCCCCTTCTGATCCCGCCTGGGATGTTGGGTGTGAGGTTGTGGCGGCTTCGATCCCAAGGGGGGGAGCTGATCCCACTCAATAACCAACTCTCAGGGGCAGTAGGTGGGCGAGCTTCAGGCACGCTCATCTCGATCGTCAAGACGTCGCTACGCGCGGTCTTCCGCGGGGGGAGCTGCGTCGACGGGTGCGGGACCGCGGCGCAGCCAGTGCCGCGGCGAGGCCTCCGGCTGTTTGCGGCGGGCGGCTTGCTGCTCGCTGCATGGCGAAAAACTCGTCTCGCTACACGCCAAGGGCTTATGCTCTGGCGAGACGTGAGGCGCATGCGCCCAGGAGGGGAGGGGGCATGTGTAACGACACTGCTAGAGATGCCTTTCGGGGCCCAGAGATAAAACTTCTGTGATGCCATGCGTGACCTAGTAGTGTCCCCAGCTATGGGCGTGTCCACGTTGGAGCCAGGTGTGGTGTGGGCGCGAGAATAGCTCCGCCGTTCATGGAGGCAACCGATGCGAGTCGACTGGTGTGTGTCGTCGTGGTTTCGTATCAAGAATACTCACTCACACACTGACGGAGTGACTGAGAGAGGGACGCTTTCAGCAGTCGCCAACCACGGCCTCCTGCGCGCATTCACTCCTCGACCAAGCAACCGGCTAATTCACTAACTTCAGTGCCGAGGGCGGCGGCTTCCTGCAGAGGCTTTTTTGTCTCAGGCGCCGTGCCCAATCTTACCTTCGCGCTGGCAGGTGGGGGCTTGAGCCAAAACTCAGGCTGCGGACCCCGTGTTGCATGTCTGACTGTCACTGTGCGATTTCGGGGTTGTGCGTTGATGTGAACAGCGCCTTTTTGCCCGCCGTGAGTCGGAACCACAGTGTAGATTCATGTCTGTGCTTCTGCTGCATGCGTGGCAGCTCACCGCCCCTTTGGCCGGAGCGGAGCTCGCGAATCGGTCGGCGACGCCTCCGGTTCGAGCGCTAGTATACCGGGGGGGCGACGCGGCGGCGGCGGCGGCGGCGGCGGCGGCGGCGCGAGAGGGCAGCGCTAGCATACACCAGATGCGATCCCTGCAGCAGGCACAGGCACCGTACTGGCTAGCGCCGGTCCAAACTGGCCCGCGAGAGCCGCAGTGGCTGGCTCCGGCCAAGCAAGGGGCTTGCAGGACGGCCGGCGGCAACCAAGGGTCGTACATCGAGAAGTGGGGCGTCACGGAGAGCAAGTGCGGGGAGGAGTGCGTGACTACTTATTCGCATGAGTGCGTGGTGCGCGCCGCGGCAGGCCCTCTCTCCGCCTCGGCCGCGCGCGCGCGCGAGTCGCCTCTCCCTGCCGCGGGCATACAGGCGTGGGAATTCACGGAGGTCAAGCCGAAGCAGTGGGTGTGCGAGCTGCACAAGGACCCAGTCAAGTCGGTGTACCCGATCCCGACCTCGCGCTGCTACATCATCTTCGCCCACAAGTCCTCCTTCGGAGGCGCCCTCTCGATGCCCATGCAAGCGGCAGCCCCCGCCGCCGCGGCGGTGGTCCCCACGCCTCAGCCGACGACCAGGCCAAAGGGCAGGCCAAAGGGATACGTCGAGCGGCCGCCGCCGCCGCCTCCCCAGCCGCCGCCGCCGCCGCAGCCGCCAAACCCGCCGCCGCCGTTTCCTCCCCCGCCGCCCAACCCCTGCCTTCTGCTGGTTGGCCCTGGTGCGGACCTGAGGGCGACCTCTTCTGCCTCGGGCAGCGGCCTCGCCCTCTGCTCCCCATGCTGTGACGGTGTGCTGTGTGTGAGCAGGGGTGCCTGCACCTGAGGAACGCAGACCTGCGATACGCCGACCTCTCCAAGGCGAGATGGAGCCGAGATCGACCCGAGATGTACCCGAGATCGACCCCTCAAACAGCGCACAACACAACACACCGACCTCTCAGGCACTCCTCGACGGCCTCGACATCTCCGGCGCTAACTTCGCCGGCGACCTTGACCCGCGCCCACCCCGCCCCCCCCCCCCTCCCTCTCCCTCCACACGCACCTCGTGCACGAGAGGAGGAGGAGGTTCCGCACACACACCACTAGGCAGCAAGCTGTCCGAGGCTTCCATGACGGGCGTCAACGCCACCCGTGCTAACTTCTCGGGGGCGGTGCGTGCCCCGCCTGGCCCCCTCCTGGCCCCCTCCCCTCCTGGCCCCCTCCCCTCCTGGCCCCCTCCCCTCCTGCCGGGGGTGCTTGGCGGCGTGTGGGGGCGAGGCGTGGTGTTCACGTGAGTGGTGCTCGCGTGAAAGGCGTTTGACTCCGCGCCCCTGCTAACCTCGGATTGCACGAGGGCGGCATTCAGAGGCGCTCCCCCCCCCCCCCCCCTCCTCCTCCCGTGCCCTTGACGAGAGCCGGAGACCTGTTACCCGTTGAAAGAGCCGAGAGGAGCCGAGAGGGGCCGAGGTTAGGCGCGATGCTCGACAACACTGATTGGACCGGCGCGACCATCAACCATGTGGACTTCACCGGCGCTTCCTAGACACTTCCTAGACACTTCCTAGACCATCAACCATGCGGACTTCACCGGCGCTTCCTAGACACTTCCTAGACACTTCCTAGACCATCAACCATGCGGACTTCACCGGCGCGCGGCTCTCGCAGTTTGGACACACTCAGGGAAGGGAAAGGGGGGGGGTTGACTGAGTCCGGCCGCTGGCCTGCTGCCTCCCCAGGGGCTTCGATGCAGATGATCAACATGCGGAGCATCCGCGGCGCTAAGCCGATGGGAGTCAACGTCACTTTCGACAGGGCGATCATAGTTCGTAGTTTAATTAGCAGTTAATTAGCAGTTAATTATCAGTCAACGTCACCTTCTCAAAAGGCGATCATGAGGGACGCCTCCATCACCGACTCCGACTTCCCGTACGCCTCCTTCGACGGCGCACAGCTGACCGGCATGTGCGCCTCGACACTTCCTAGACACCCCCTAGACACTTCCTTCGACGGCGCACAGCTGACCGGCATGTGCGCACATGCACATGCGCATGTGCCCGAGATGCACCACAGCCTCCCTCCCCGCCCCCTCCCTCCCCGCCGCCTCCCTCCCCGCCCCCTCCCTCCCCGCCCCCTCCCTCCCCGCCCCCTCCCTCCCCGCCCCCTCCCTCCCCGCCCCCTCCCTCCCCGCCCCCTCCCTCTCGCGAGCCTGCGCCACCCGTAGAGCCACCCGTAGAGCCACCCTCTCGTAGAGCCACCTCCAGAGGCGCCCGTGCCCTGTGCACGACACAGGCGCGTCGAGGACATGCAGATGCCGTTCTCGACCTTCCGAGGCGCGGCCTTGGCCATGGGGAAGGGGCGGGGGGGGGGGGGGTCGTCAATGAGTCTCAGAAGCGGACGAGCCATCAGCAGCTCGGCCACGGACTAGGCACGACCTTCGACGGCACCGGTTTCGTCGACTCCAACTTCACGGGCTCGATGATGCAGGGCGTCATCATGATCCGGGTGCGCGCGTGCCGGAAGGGGCAGCCACTCCGTCGCTCGCCGAGCCCCCCCCCCCCCCGCCCCCGCCCCCCCTAACCTCGCCAGTCCGACGTCGAGAAGCTGCAGCTGCAGAACGCCAACCTCAACGGGGCGACTCTGCGCGACTGCAAGCTGCAAGAGCTGAACATGATCTCCGCCACGTGCGAGCCAGCCGAGACCCCGCCCAGATTGACGTCGCAAGAGAGCGGGGTCCTCCTCGGAGCCACGTGCCTCCCCCCCCCCCCCCCCACACTCCCCGCAGGGCGGTCGGCGCCGACTTTTCGGGCTCGGTCCTCAACATCGGCTGCTTCGACAAGGCAGACGTGAGCTACTCCAAGTTCATTGGAGCGAGCGTCCCCGACTCGACCTTCAACAACACAGTCATCAAGGGCACCGACTTCACGGGCGCGCTTGGCACGTTGAAGGCAGACTTCTACCATGCGATCGGGGTGCCCCTCGTGTGCGACGGGTGCAACTACCCGGGAAGCGGCTTGGCGCCCCTACCGGCGCCGGTGGGTCAACACATAGGCTAGTTCCATTTCACTGTGGCACAGCTCGCGTTACAAAACCTTGATTTGACCACATTTGCGCGCACTATTGTACCTCTCGGTGCCTTCCAGAGGCAGCTGCGGACCCCGCCGAGTGGACGGGCGCACACAGCAGGTGGCGCGGAGTGCACCCCCGTCCACTCGGCGGGGTCGCAGCTGCCTGCCTCTGCGCGTCCTGGGGAGGTACCAAATTGTCGCCGCCGGAGACGACTCGACGCCGCTGAGATCGGAGATCAAGCTCTGACAGGTCGCACGTCGCTCCTTTGACGCCGACGTGACTCAACCGTGCAGATCACATCAGGACACGGTCTCGACGCGCTCGGTACGACGCCTGCGACCCGTCTTGGGTCAGGTGGCACGACGCTCATCGCGCCTGCCAGGGCTGCCGTGCAGGTTGCCACGACGAGGTCGAGCACGCTTCTATACGCTCGCCCAGCCTTCCTTTCCATCCCATTAGGCAGCCTGGGAACGGTGGCGGCCAGAGGCAAAGCCTACGAGGGTGGTGGAACCACATGTCACGGCTACTGCCGGCTCGACCCCACGATAGCCTCCGAAGGCTGACTTTGCGGCACCATCATCGGACGATGTCGACGAGTTGGGTCGCTCTCGCGGTAGCCAGGTAGCCCCCCATACTAGTAGCACCGGCCATGGCCGCAGGAAGCTCGGGGGAGGGCGCTGGGAGCAACACGGAGCTCCGTTGGACGCGTTTTCAAGATTAGCGTGTCAGAGTGAATTGGAACTAGCCATACCAGGTCGGTTGTGAGCGGGTCCGGGGCGTGAAACGGAACTTTACCTTATTAAAGTTTAAAGTAGGTTGTCTGTTTTAACTTTTATTTAGAGCCCCGTAGCCCCACACGGCGCTCGCGGCTCGGCGGCGGTGGTTGTTGTTGCGCTTACGGAGCTTTGTTTCGGACCACGCTCGAACTGCAGCATACGGCGCGCTCAGGGAGGTTTCGGAAGCCCGCATGAAATGCGGTCAGTTCCCCCCAGGTTTGACTGCGTAGGTCGCGGAACTCGTTAAGACTTAAGTACGCGTGCCTTTCTGCGGACTGCGCCTCCGTCTGCATATCGGCTGCCGTGCTCTGCGGCAAGAGTTGTCTTTCCGGAAGATATCGACGATTTTCGAGAGCCACCCGCTTGGGAGCGATTGAGCGCGTCACGGAGGACTTCAGGTTACCCCTGAAGCTCCTCTGGCGATCTCGCTCCCCATCGATCTCTTCTTGCCGTACGGCTCGGTTCCTGTTGCTGGCACAGAGCTCCGTGCCAGCCTCCCTCCAACGTGATGGGAAGGAGTGAATCACTTCGACGGATCGACCAAAAGTGGTCCTTCGCGGTTTGGTCCCTACTCGAGTAACCAAAAAAGCACGATTCTGAAGTTGGGTGGGCCCTCAGTCAGGGCCCTCAGCGCTCATGAGCTTCTCGTGGCAAAACCTCAACCAGGAGTGTCGATGGGATTCTTTTGTGGTCTGCCGGTGTGTGTGCCAGTCCGCCAAAGAAAGAAAACACGCGGCAAGGGAGGGCCAGTCCCAGAGCATTTGGCCATTTTTGTGTGTCTCTCGGCTCACAAGCCATTGGCCGTCAGGTACTGTCTACTGAGCGCGCAGCTGGAGGTGGCGCGGTCCGAATGTGGAAGGTCCAGTCGGAAAAATACGCGGTCGAATTTGCGCCGACCACGGCATTGCCCTTCTCGCTGGGCCGACTCGACGGCATGCCTCGCTGCGTCTCGCGGCAGCAGGCCACGCTCGAGCCCGCTCCTGACGATGAGGCGCGACTGCTGCTCACTTCGCGCGGCCACGCTGAGACGGGCGTGCGCACGAGCAACTCCTGGATCTGGCTCCGGAAAGGCGAGTCGGCAATCATTGCGAGTGGGTCGGAGATCGCACTTACCTGCGGCGTGCCTCCCAGCCGTTCAGTTCAAAAGCCCGAGGAGCCGCTGGAAAACGTAGTGCTCAAACTCGTTGCGTTACAGTCTCCTCAGGCAGCCATGCCGCCACCAGCCCGCTCGCCGGCCACCGGCAACGCAGCCTCGCGCACGGAACCACGGTACAATGCGTGGGGTTCTCCAATCCGCTCGGACGATGACGACGAGGAGGAGAAGGATTCGCCGCCAGCGAAGCCCCCGCCGCCCGAGTGTCCGTGCGGCGCCGGAAGTTTCGTGGAGAAGCTCTCCCGGAGTGAGAAAAACTACAATCGCCGCTACTACGAGTGCCCTCGCCGCTACATCGCTGCCGGTTGTCCCAAGAAGCACGACTTTGAGTGGGCCGATCTCTGGGTCGACCACGACACTGCAGAACGGCGGAAGCGGTCGAGATCGGTGTCTCAGAGCAGCAACGGCCGGCGGGATCAGTGCCACCGCTGTCTGCGCTTTGGCCACTGGGCGAGAGACTGCCGCATGCGCTTTTGACGCGCTTCACAAAGGCGTCGGGTCGAGGGAGACGCCACATGAAAGGCACACGGCCAGAAGGCAGTGCGCGGTTGTGCGGAGTGCTCCCCTGGGTGAATGGGCGCACGAGTGAATGGGCGCACGAGCCGCGGGGGGAGGAGCGGGCGAGGATACGGACTCCAAGCTCGAATCACCCGCGCTGCATGCACAAGAGGATCAAGGGAAGACCGCCGGGGAATATGGTCTTCCAGTTTCGGGTGCTGGCCTGCGTGTCTCGTGCGTGTCATATCGGCCGGGGGCCTCGGTGTGCTCACCGCCGGCTTCGCTCCCTTTGGCGGCACCGAGGAGGGTGCACTCACTCCTCAACATACGGCCCTGCGCGGTTAATAAATGAAAACGGTCAAACTCTCAGACGAGATTGGATACTTCTCGTGCGTGTAGAGGGATCGCGTCACAACACGACACAGATGAGTAGAGTCAAGAGTGGTAAGTGTTGTACGGCATGGGGCGCGGCTACTGGCAGTACAGAGTACTGCGAGCACCGGAGCAGGCGCACATCGCTTACCCTTTTACACCTCATTCCGCGGCATTTTTTCGAGGAAAATGTAAATGATCCTTGTCTACTTGGAGCTACATGAGGATTGAGGTCATGTCTCATGGCACATATATAGGAGACCCTGGTGGCTGGTGCTGGTCGATTCTCCAAGATATTGAACTTAGTTTGGGTTTTGTATATAGCCGATTTGCGATTTCCCCATTCGATTTGGTTTTGCTCGCTCCCCGTAATGCGTAAAGCCGTAGTGCCGAGGGCCGAGAGAGGAGAGTCTCTCTCGCTCTTCACATGTCTGTCCTACACGTGAGACTCAATAAGTACATCATAGTACCACACGCTCGCTCCCTGAGTGTGCACAGCGGGCTTACTTCAGCCACTTTTGGAGGAACGAAAAGACCCGCTGCTCCATATACACGCGGTCCTTGAGGCTGCGCGGCGAGTGCCGCTCCTTGGGGAAGCACAGCAGCTCGTAGCTCTTCTGTGCCTCCACCATCGCCTGCGTCAGCCGCGCCGTGTGCCGGAAGTGCACGTTCTCATCCATCAGTCCGTGCACGAGCAGCAGCGCGCCCTCGACCCCGTCGACGTGGCTCATCACCGAGGACCGCTCGTACGCCTCCGGCGCGGACTGAGGCGTTCCACCCATGTACCTGCGCGCGAGACAGGGGCGCGGAGGCGGGCAGCCTTCAGGGCGTGGAAGCGGGCGGGGGCTCAACGGCGCGTCGTCTCGAGGCGCGCACCGCTCCGTGTAGTGCGTGTCGTAGCCGTCCCAACTCGTGACGGGTGCGCCAGCCACGGCGCAGCGGAAGGTGGACGGCGCGCGCGCGAGGCACATGGCCGAGAGGTAGCCGCCGTACGACCACCCCATGATGCCGACGCGGGCGGGGTCGGCGAGGCTCTGTGCGACGGCCCACTCGACGGCGGCGACCTGGTCGTCCACCTCGAGCCTCCCGAGGTCGCCCTTGATCGCCCCCTCGAAGGCAAGACCGCGCCTGCCGGGGCGCAGTGGCGGGGACGACTCACGGGGGCGAGGCACGGGGCGGTGTCGCGCAGCGGGGCGTAGCGGTGGCGAGCCCGTAGCGGTGGCGAGCCTGTCGGAGCCGCGGTTGTCGCACTTGAGGACGAGGAAGCCCTGCTCGCGCAGGAACTGAGCGCGCAAGTCGGCGGTGGCGAGGCTCCAGCCGTTCTGCACGTACTGCACGTGCGGCCCGCCGTAGCAGGAGACGACGGTGGGGTGCGGTCCGTGACCAAAGATCGACTCGTCCGGCTCGTAGACCGCCGCCTGCCCAAAAGTTCCGGGAAGGGTCCTGGAGAGGTCTAGGAGGCGCCTCGCCGTGCTCGCAGACCGCCGCCTGCAGCGTCACGGCGCCGTCGCTCGAGGGGAAGGAGACGAAACGCGGCGGCCGCAGGACCGCGCCGAGCGACGCCACGCGGGCGTCTGCGGCGCGGGCCGAAAACAGCACCTTCTCGGCGGCGGCGGGACGCGCGGAGGATGCGGCTGGCTGCGGCAGCGCTGCGAGTGCGGCGGCGACGGGCTCGCTCGCGGACGAGAAGGAGTCCACGAATGCGGAGTGGTCGTGCGAGAGGGCGATGCCTGGGCGGTCAGCCGAGCGCATCAGCCAGCCAGGAGGATGAAGGGGAGACGCGTCCGAGAGGGGTGGGCACCGGAGTGAAGGCCAGCCTGCGCGGTCAGTCTCTCTGGCGAGGGGTCGGAGCCGTCGCATCTGACGCGGTAGAGGTGGCGCTCCTACTAGCACATCGTTAATTCACACAGCACCCATCAGCCATTGGAGACGTGACGCGGCAGAGGTGGCGCTCCGTGTACTCGCCCGCCGCCAGCGGACCGCCGTCAGGCGCGGTGCGTGGGTTGCCCATGAAGTAGACGTGTCCTCGCTCCTCGTCTACCGAGAGCAGCTCCTCCACACACCACTCGCCTACAGGGAGACCTGGGGAGATGTGGGGAGATGCGGGGAGGCAGAGCGGCTCCTCCGCCGCCCGACCAACCGCTCGTCAGCGCGCGCAGGCAAGCGCCGTCTGCAGAGTGCACGTACAGGTGGCGCCAGCCTAGTCTCGGCTGATCTCGGCTGACCTCGGCTGATCTCGGGGAGTCGAGACGTGCAAGCGGCGCAAACCCGTGCGCTCCGACGCCCACACCAGCTCCTCTCCGCCTAGTCTCGACCGATCTCGACCGATCTCGACCGATCTCGGCTGACCTCTGGCAGCCAATCTCCGCCCGCTCGCCGCCCAGAGGCGCCAGCATGTCGTGCAGGTTGACCCAAGTGTCAGACTGCTCCGTGAGGACGGTGCTTACGCGCCCCGTCGCTGCGTCGCACCGCAGGAGCGCCAGCGAGCGCTGGTCCCGGCTCTCGACCTGCGGAGTGTCATTGGTGTGAATGATTTATTACCTGTTATGCAGAGTGGGCCGAGGAGGCGAGAGGAGGCCGAGAGGAGGCGAGAGGAGCCGAAGTGAGCCGAGAGGAGCCGAGGTGAGCCCGAGAGGAGCCCGAGAGGAGGAGGAGGAGCGGGCTGCTGCGCCTGCACGAGCAGCGAGCTTCCCCCGCAATCCCACTGCACGCGGGCGAGGTAGCTGTCTGCCCCAAACGGGCCGGACAGGTCGAACCACGTCGGCGCCTCGCTCGGCGCCGCCTCCTCGCCCACGTCCGCCGCGCCGCCGGCCTGCACCAGTCCGAGCCGGACCTGTTGGGGGGGGCGGCCGGTGAACCGTGGCACTGGCTCGTGGCGCGTGGCGGGCGGGCCGGCGGGCGGGCTCCTTTGGGTTTGCTGCGCCCGCGAAGGGGTAGTGGTGCTGCTCGTTTTGCTCGTGCGGCGAGTCGACGCCCGCGTTCATGATTGCGAAGGGGGGGATGTGAGACTCGTCCACCTGTGGCGGGTCCAGTCACCAGTCAGCCCAGAGAATCCTTCGACAGGACGCGAGGGCCAAGGGGAGCTCCTCTGCCCGCCTCCTCAAACGCAACCAGCGCCCCGCCGCCCGGCGAGGGCCAGTAGCCGCTGTACCGGCTCATCTCCTCCTGCGCGCAGTAGTCGGCAAGCCCATTCGACCTCCCCTCCTCCCCGCGCGCGCCGAGCGTGAGGCGGCGCGGCGCGCACGCGTCGGCGGCGGAGCCAACCTCGCAGGCGCAGACCTCGCCTAATCTCGGCCGATCTCGGCTGATGTCGGCCGATCTCGGCCGACCTCGGCCGATCGGCCACCCTCGCAAGCAGGTCCTCACCCCCCCAGACGAAGAAGCAGCGCGCGCCGTCGTCGGACAGCTTCGCGTCGAGGAGCGGGCCGGTCCCGACCTGCAGGACACGTCCGGGACATGTCACGATCCGGCGGTGTGTATGCATGCGAGGAGCCGGCCTGAAGTCGACCTCGGGAAAGGCGTCTGGGTCGAAGAGACGACGAAGGCTGTCTGCGGAGCCCTCTGCGACGCCGTCCTGGCAGCAGCGAGGTTGGGCTGAGGCGTGGCGAGAGGGCAGCGACTCGCACCCTCCTCTCGAGGCGCGCCTGGACAAACAGAGCGCCGTCCATCGGCACGAGGAGGCGGCAGGCGTTCTTCGCCCAGCTGTACTCGGTCACGCCGGTCGACATGATCCTCGCCCGCTCGCGGCGCAGCGCCTCCTCCTTGGAGAAGCTCTTCTCCTCGCCAGAGCCCTCGCGTGGAGCGATCACCAGCGACGTGCTGCCCGTCTCCCGGTCGTAGACGTAGAGCTGGCGCGTCAGGCTGGCGGCCTCGACGCTGCCGAGGTAGGTCACGTACCGGTCGTCTGGCGAGAACTTCACCATGCTGAGCCCCTGAGCGCCAGGCCTCGGGATCGCTGCCACCTCCTCAAAGGTGAGGACGGATGCGGTTGAGAGCTGTGGCACGAGCGAGGCTTGCGGCTTGATCCCGACGGTCATCGCCCGCCCGACGGCGACGAGAAGCGCAGCTGGCAAGCGGCGTTGCATTTCCAGCGAGCCGAGGCAAAAAAAATGCGATGGGAGTCCCGGATGGCGCGTCCAAATCCTGCTCGTGCAGGTGGGGACCCTGTCCTCGTCGCATCCCGCGTTGGCGTGTTTGTTTTCTTTCTTTTACTCACACGGGACTGAAAAAAGAATATTACCACGCAAAATCCAGGGCGACGATCGGTGTCCCGGGGGCGGCCGTCATGTGGCGAGGAGGGAGGACGACAAGTGCGCGTCGTACGGGTCGCTCTTCAACTTCATCGGCCAGTCGCGTTACGAGTGTTTGAACCAGTCACTTCGTCGTTGGGAGGTGGGTCTAACCCCACCGTCCCTGCCGACGAGCCTGGGTAGTGCACGCGGGAGCGATCGCACACCCTTTGTTGACTCGTTACTTTTTCGAATAATAAACGCTATCACATGCTAAAGCGCCACACCTCGTGGGACTGATGTTTTCGTAAACGTAGTCGTGGCCCCCCGCTAACGTCGCACGAGTGCAACCGGTAGCTCGTCTCTTGATCCTCTTCTTGATTGCCATACAAACTCTTGCGTGCCGCGGGCATTACAACATATTCAATGCCACTGTACTAAGGCTACAGTGCATTCCTCACGCTGCTTTAACAACCACTTGAACGTCTCAGACGCATTCACAGGCAATCCTAAAGCTGGCATTGCGTGCCACTCCACAGCAAGGATATCGAGCCCGCACACAGCAGCTGGCTGTGTGACAATGACATGCCGCAGCACTTTGTACTCATGGCCTTCAATATCCAACTTGACGAATACGAAATCGCTCGCATCTACAATCTGTGCGAGGAACGACGTGGCATCCATTGTGTGCACCGTTTTTGGCACGAAACCCTTGCTGTCAGAGATAGCGACCTGGCTGTTACTATGCCATCTTCCCTTCGCATCTTTGTAATGTTCCGCTTTTGAGCTCTCGAGGCTTGCATCCACGCCTGCACCCTGCATTTCAACGTATAAAGTACGATTTGTGGTGCTGCTCACGCTCAATGCAGTTCCAACGAACAGCTTCACGTGGTAATCCCTGGAAAGTCGCTGCTCATACAAACTCAAGCGAGTGCTCCATCTTGGGTTTGCCTCAAAGCCATAGTAGCAGTTCTCCCGAGGCCGTGATTTACATTTGTGTAAATTACGGGACTGCTTCTGGGAGAGCCGGTCAAGCGCTGGATCCCGCCACCATTTCATCAATGAGCTGCCATCGTTCAGTCCAACGTCGACAAAGGTGCATTTACAGCGGCAAACGCCGAAATATTTTTCATGCAGCGTTGATGAACGCATGCACGAACCAATGGAGAGTAAGGTCATGACCGAAGTAGGCATCCGTTGCAACGACCTGGCGGGAGCGGGCTAAAAGCCCTGTCTCGCCCGAGTCCTGGGAAAGTATAGTAAGTTCGTATCGGAAAGGAATTTTACCTGTGCACAAGAGAATTTTACGGATAGAGAAGTGAAGAAGTCCTCCAGCACAAACGCGACCGTGCTAAAGCATGCGATGGTCCCACCCATCCACGCAAGGAGCCAGTTAGAATTTTACAACAAACGATCGCTCCTCATCGCAAACCCCGTCAGCAGTCCTCCTCCGGGAATGTACGTAAGAGCTACATACACTGACAAAACTCCCTCGCACGACACTGGGCACGGAGCCAGTTAGAATCGTTACCAAAGAAAGTCGCCCGACCGAGGCCCATCCATCCATGTCCGTCCGCGAGCCCCCAGCTCGCCGACGGCGAGAGAGATGCCACGAGGGGTCGCGGTGGCGTCCATCGCCAGGCTCCCTAGCTCAACCGACGACCCTCGTGCCTCGGGATCGACGGCCGATCGTCATCAGACAATGAGGTCGAGAACCGCATCGGCGGCCTCAGCAGCGTCTGCAGAGAGCCGATCAGACTCGGGTCCACGGTGAATGTCAGGTCTGCACTAGGCTCACACACAAGTCAAGGTAGATCTAAATACCGGGGGAGGTATTTCCTATGCTTCACAGCCTTGTTATTGAGAAGAAAATACGTCCTACTTCACACCTGGCGGACGGGACTGCGCACACCGTGGCGCACACCGTGGCGCACAAAGAAACGTGAACAGGCCCCACTGCCACTCACCTTGGGTGGTGCAGGTTAGGACTTCCGCGGCGCCGCTCTGGGCGGCGGGCTGAGCCGATCGTAGCGGCGAGCCTCGGTCGAACGATGCATGAGGCCCGTCACGGACAGCCGCTGAGCAGTGAGCTCCTTCTGCTCGTGGGCGCCGGCGAGGGCACGCCTGTGCTGCCGGCATCGGGCGAGCAGCAGCGGCGCCCGATCGGCGTGGTCCTGGCGGACGAAGCCTCTTCCGTGGCCGCAAAGCCGGCCGCCGGCTCACGCTGGTGCTTCTCCGACGCGGTCGAGTCCGACCCGGCCGGCCGCGACTTTGCGCGCTCCACCGACTGCTGCACGCTCCGCTGGACGCCTGCAAAGGGCCGTCACGCCACTGCGACCCGCGAGATCTCGCGTGGACGCGTGCTTCTGCGGGCCTCGGCTGCGGCAGTCGCCAACACGGCTGCGAGCGGCGCGGCGACGGCCCTCCTCGCGGAGTCGTCGGGGCGCGACGGCGCGGCGGCCTCTGCGGACGCGCAGCGCGTCGGGCTGGACGCGTCGACGCTCGCTCTCTCGCTCGAGCTCTTGCGGTCGGGTCGCGAGGCGGCCGAGGAGGCGGCGGGGTCGCTGCTGACGCACCGCGAGCACCTATCCGCCGCCGAGGCGGAGGCGTGGGAGCGCACCGCCCAGAGACTGCGCTCGGCTGCGGCCAGCTCTGGTGGCTCTGGTTGCTCTTGTGCGTCCGGCTGGAGTGATGAGGCGGTGCTGCGGCTGCTGCTCGCGGTGCACGCGAACGCGCACCCGGTCCTCGACGACGCGACGGCGAGCCGGACGGTCGGGCTCGGCCTCTTCCCCGCCGCCTGCCTGCTCAACCACTCCTGCGCCCCGACGGGGGTCCTCTCCTTCGAAGCCGGCGGCAAGGTCCTCGTCGTGCGCGCGCTGGTCGACTTGCGGCGCGGGCAGGAGGCGGCCAGCTCTTAGACACCTCCTAGACACTTCCGAGACCCTTCCTGGACAGTGCAGGAGGCGACCAGCTCTTAGACACCTCCTGGACACTTCCGAGACCCTTCCTGGACAGTGCAGGAGGCGACCAACTCGAGGCCTCGAGCCGCAGCTCCTTCCTGAGGACGTGCATCACAGGGTCCGCCACTGGCGAGCAGGTCACCTACTCGTACCTCGACGAGCCCCACCTCTTCGCCCCGTGGCGGCAGCGGAGGGCGCTCCTGCGCGCCGCACACCGCTACGAGCCCTCCCAGCCTCGCAGCAGAGAGGAGAGCGAGGCGGCGGCGCTCTGCCGATCGCGCCTGCCCGCCGCCGCGCTGGGCGAGCCGGCGGATGAGAACGCGGCAAGGTGCTGGACCCTTCCCTGACCCTTCCTCGAGCCCTCCTCAGGCGAGCTCGAGGCGGAGGTGCGTGCTCTCTGCTCCGAGGCGGCCGCCGCGGCGGAGGAGGCGGAGGAGGCGGCGGCGCGCGGCGACGGGCCGCTCGCTCCGTCGGCGGAGGAGCGGCTCGGGTCTGCCTGCGAGGCGGTGCACTCGCTGCTCGAGGGGAGGCTGCTGCAGGCGGCGCCACCCGGCCCCGCTGGACCGGACGTAGTTGAACGAGTCAGACCGTACTCTCGTGCAGCAGGCGGCCCGCGCCCGCCGACTGCGCCTACGAGGCCCGGTATGAGCATCTCCCGGTATGAACATCTCACCCCGTCGCTCTCGTGTCGCAGGCGGCGCACCCGGCCCACTGGCTCGCGCACGACTGCCTCGCCGCGCTCTCCCGCGCCGCGCGCGCCCTCGGCGACCCGGAGCGGCTCGCACACGCGTCGATGCGATGCCGGTGGCATGTCCATGACGTGTCCGAGACGTGTCGACAGGAGCGGCTCGCGTACGCGTCGATGCGGCTGATCGCCGCGCGGGAGCAGGTGATGCCCCTCGGCACGCCCGGCCTCGCGACGCTGTACGCCTCGCACGGCTCGGCGCTGGTCCGCCTCCTCCGCGCGGGTCGCTTCTCGGCCGCCGGCAGCGCAGAGGCCCTCGGGCAGGCGGAGCAATCCCTCGCGGCCGCCTGCAGCATCCGCGCGAGCTGCCTCGGCGACGAGCACCCGCTCGTGGCCGCCACAGCCCGCGCGCTCGCCGACGTGAGGCAGCGCCGGAGGCAGCGCGCGGGGGGCGCGACGTGACCAGAGAGTTTCCATTCCTTCTTTTGCGACCGCCGCTGAGCGCTGTGAGGTGTGAGGTGTGTGGCGCGCAGCTGCGGAGCGTGCGGCCTGCGGCCGGTGTGTGCGGAGCGGATCGATTTCTTTACGATTGAACGTTCTCTCTCTCGACCGCCCGCAGTCGCACGCCGTCTCCCTCAAGGCACACAAAAGAGGGGGGGTTTCAAGCATCAGACCGCATTGCGCATACCGCCGCCGGCTCCGTCTGGCTCTGCGACTGCGTCTCTGTCGCGCTCTCGGTCCTTCCTCTTCTCGCGCTTCCTCAAAGCCTTGTTAGCTTTCTTCAGCTCCTTGGCCAACTGGGGCGCAGCCTGCGCCTCCGCCTGCTTGGTCCGCTTCTTCTCGTCCCGAAGCAGCAGCACCTCCGCCCGCGCCTTCTCCTCCTCGCTCAGGCTCTCGCGGTCAGCAGCGTAGCGCTGCAGCAGCGACTGATTGATCTCGCGCTTCCACTTCTCACTCTTCTCGAGCAGCCTGCGCCGGCGGCTCTCCTCGTCGCTCTCCTCCTTCTCGTCGCCAGGCTGCCGCCGCCGCTTCTTCCCCTTCTTGCGTTGCTGTCTCGCCGCCTCTGCTCCCGCCGCCGCCCCTGCTCCCGCCGCCTCCTCCGCCGCCAAGGAGGAGGAGGGACGACTGGCCGCATCCACGTCACTCAGCCGGCCCACGTCGGCAGCGCACCCAACCACCGTCTTCTCGTCGTCCTCCGACTGCCCGCCGCTCGGTGACTCGTCCTGTGGGAGCGCCGGCGGCGGCTGCGGCGGCGGTTGCGGCGGCGGCGGCTGCACGCACCGGATGCGCCGGGTGCGGCCCGTCTTCCGGTTCCGCTGCCAGCTCTGATGGAGGTCGACCGAGTAGCTGAAGCCTCGAGCCTCGTACTCGCCGCGGCCGCCCGCTTCTGCGTCCGAGATGGCGGCGAGCACGCGAGCGTCGGCAGGCACCCACCCGCCCTTGAGCTCTACCTCCCACCGCGGCGCCGGCACCGCCGCGGGAGCAGCCGCCGCCACCGCGCGCGCATCGGCAGCCGGGTCCGTGTTGGGCTGGAGCGTGGCGGGCTGGAGCGTGGCGGGCTGGCAGGCGCTGGTTGGTGGCTGGCCGTGGGCGGGCAACGCCGGCGCTCCGCTCGTGGCAGCAGGCTGTCGGCCATCGACGCGGGCAACGCTGCCACCACTGCCGCCAATACCACCACCGCCGCCGCCGCCGCCGCCGCCGCCGCCGCCGCCGCCGTCACTCCCCTCCCTTCCGGTGCCCACTCCTGCACGCTGAGGAGAGCGGGTTGCGACAGAGCCACGCGCGGCGTTTGCAGCGCAGACGGGGCAGGGCGGCGACTGCGGCTGCGTCCAGTGGTCGAAGAGCCGCTGGGCACACGCCCGCTGGCTGAGCGAGGCGGCGTCCGTGATCTGGTGTGCCAGAAGCGTGGCTCTCACAGCGGTCACCGGGAGCCTCTTCGAGTTGAGGAAGGCGAGCACGCGCGCCGCGACCAAAGCGTCGTTCTGGAACCGGCTCAGAGCAGGGTCGGGCTTGCCCCACACACTGTTGGTCGCCTGCTGAGCACAGCGCGAGCGCAGCGCGTCGCCCTTGATCCTCGGGTGGGACGTGTTCGAAAGCTTGGAGTAGAGGCGCTTCGCCTCCTCCTCCCCCTCGATGTGGCGGCACACATCGCCGAACCACAGGTGGAGCTGTTTCAGCAGGATTGTCATACGGCGCCGCGCCGGTTGCACGAGTCCGGCGTCAGCCTCGTGAGCGGCGAGGCGGCCACGGCGTCAGCCTCTCGATCGTCAGCAGAGGAGCGGGGCCTCGCGCGCTAGCGGCTTTTCTTTTCCGTACTAGTGGGGACCTGCGGCGGACCCGCCTCTGTTGAGTGTTGTTCGGGCAGTGAGAGACGCAGGATCTGCACGCCAAAGTGGGGCCACTCCGCATTTTCATTTTGGTTTTGGGTTGTCGGAGATCATCCATCAGCACTCATGTCTCATCAGTCAGTCACGTCAGTCAAAGCAGTCGTGGCACGTGGAGCAGTCGCTGCATGCAACGGCGCCGCCACACGCTCCGGACGACCGACACACCGACACACCACGCACAATGGGAGGCTATCGCGCACGATCGGCCATCGCACCCACCGCAAACACCTCGCCGCACAGATGGGGGGAGGCAAAATCCCACACACACCGGAGCAGCGCAGACACCTTACACGTCAGCGCTCGCTCGATGTGGCCGGCGCTCTCCCCTCTCCTATCGCCTTTTCAACCCGTTGGCTCCGTGCCTAAGGCAGATCGATTAGGGTGTGAGCTGCGGCAGCCACCGTTTCTGTACCTCGATCACGTGCAGGCCGTCGGAGGCCGCGCTGGATGGCCCAGGGCCGGCGGCGGTGAAGGCGTCCGTCGATGAAGGGATGTCGTCGAGGGAGCCATCGTCCTACACGGCTGGTGCACCGGTCCAGTTGTCGGAGTTCGAGATCGCCGTCGACTTGGAGAGTTCGGCCCGTTGACGAACTCACGGAATGTGAGCGACTTGGTGCACGCTGATAGTCGAGCATCATGGCTCGCACCTCATCCTGAGCGCAAGGAATTCGCCCAGGGGCCAGCTGTTGGCGTCGCCGTTTTGATCGAGCTGCATCCACTGCATGGTTTCGTAGTCAAGCGTAAACGCCCAGGAGTTGGTGCCTGGTCGTAGGTTGTGCGGATATCGCTGAGCGTGAGAGGGACTGGATCGGCAGCAGCGCGGGCGGCAGCGGCCGGAGAGGCCGGAGAGCCGTCCGACGGAGGCCGGTCGTGCATCGGCGCGTCGGCCGTAGGGGCCGGGGGGGCGGCGGCATCCATTTACAAATATCGCTGCGGGTCGCTGCGGGCCGACGATTGTGGACTGATCGATCGTCGGCGGGCGGTGTTCTCGAGTGTTCAGCTGGGACGTTCTACGTTAAAAGAGCGTCGGCGCCGACACGAGAGACTTATAAGGGTAGATTCCGAATTTTTTTTCCGACGTCACCGAAACTCGGCGCCTGCGGCGGAGTGGCTTACTGCGGCTAGCATGCCGACCGCCATTGTGGCGCCAGCAGATGAACACGCCGACGAGGAGGTCCTCCGAGAGGCGTTGGAGGGCGATGCGCTGCGACCGACGGGCGGCGCTCCCGCCTCCAACGACGACACCCTCCTGCCGCAGACGACGTGCAAGCTGGTGATGACGCCCGCTCACGACGCCCTCTCGAGGAGTCGCTTCGCGCTGTATCGGCTGCTCATGACGCCCCCTCAAGGCGTCGTATCTCCGAAGGCCTACTTTGCCGCGAGCAACGAGCTCGTGGTGCTGACGCTAATCGTGTGCTGGATTGTCACGGTCTGTTACGACCGGTCCCAGGTGTGGGACCACCCGGCGCGGGTCTACGTGGGGCACTTCAACCCGTGCTTTGGGTGGGACTACGCGCCGGCGTCGTACATCGCCGTCTTTGCGATGTCGTACGACGTGCACCTCGCGTGGACCTACGCGAGCCTCGAGGCGATGCGCACCAAGCTGCGCGACGACGACGGCAAGACGAGCAAAGCCGAGCGCTTCTCGCTGGTGACGACGTACCTGCACGGGCTCGCGAGCATGGGGTGGATGCTCCTGTGGCTCGTTGGCCCGCCCGACGGCCAGTGGGCCGCGCACCTCGCCATCTTCTCCACCGCCGTCGCCTTCCGCTACCTCTGCCAGCTGGGCAACTACGTCGAGTGCCGCTGGGGCAAGGCGTGGGAGAGCGGCCACGTGAAGCGCTCGCACACGGTCTACATCGTGAGCTACGGCCTGGTGACGCTCTGCCTTCCCATCCTCTACTTTATCGACGTCATCATGTACGAGGCGCAGGGGCGCACCGGCGTCGACCCGCCCATACCGCTCGCGATCATCCAGACGCTGGACGTGGTGTGGATGGTGCTCGTCGCGCTGAGCACGCGCTTCTCGGTCCCCGAGCCGCCCGTCGTCGTCAAGTGGAGCGTCCTCGAGTTCGACGACGTCGTCGACGCCGACGACTTCACGCCGGCGCAGATCGCGCAGCTGAGGAAGCTCGGGTTCGAGGCCATCGAGTGAGCTGCGGCTCGCTGCGCCGCCGCATCCTGGAGGACCCAGACCTTGCGCCGTGCGTGCTCCTTAAGACGAGCTGTGCGGGCACCCGGCGGCCGTGTGCAAGCGCTGGTCTCTGATCTGCGCGCCGCGCGGTGCCTTCGCTCGCCTCGTGGAGACTGCTGGCGACGCCACGTCGGCGCTGCACGCTGCTGCGCTCGGAGAGCTCAAGCGGCTGTCGGAGGCTCCTGCCACGCACGAGGGTGTCGTGGCTAGCAATCGCGCCACCCTCGACGCTGACGACCATTGCCTCTCGTTCCTGCTGGCGCGGCTCGATGAGCCCGAGGATGATGGCTGGCGCAGAGAAATCATCACCGCCCTCCTGGCCCTCGCAACCTCCTCGTCTGCGTGCGCTGAGCAGTGGCACCGGGTCGGCGGCGTTGCGGCGCTGCAAGCGCTCGCTCGAGAGACGGCGGAGGAGCGGGTGGAGAGACAGGCGGAGAGGTGCGACGAGGCGCAGCGGTCAGCCTTGGCGTGAGGAGGTCCGCAGGCGGACTGCCAGGTGACTCTCATAGTGTTACGGTACTCTACCTTAGTTGTGCTCGGTGCCAAAACACCGAAAAAATCTCTCTCCCTGTCCCCCCCCGGGGTGTCATGTCATGAACGACCGTGTCAAGATTGGGGTTGTCTCTGTCAAGGCGGACTCGCTCTTCGAATCATGTTCCTGTGTCCCTGTCCTCTCTGCTGGCCTGCCTCTCGCCTCTCCCGCTCGACGACCAAAAACGACGCCGCCGCAAGTGCAGGGTAGGCTCCGCCTCACTGCATCTCGAACTGGATTCCACGAATTGATTTTCCTAGCGTCGTCAAAGTGAGCTGAAAGCTCGCTCGAAGAGCCGATGTCACCCGCCGACCGCCTCCCATCTCGCCGCTGCTCTGGCGGGGCGGGGGCGGGGCCTGGCGACGGCGCGCGGCGCATGTGCCGTGGCAACCCACCGGGCCGGCCGGCCGCGAAGGCGCCGACCGGCGATCGCCACCGCGCCCCGCCTCGGAACGCCGTTTCCGCTTGGCGTCCGAGGCGCTCGGCGTTCCCGCTGGCCGCCGGGGCCGGACCGGATCGGACGCTCCTTTTCCCGCCGTAGGCACGGCTGGCCGGCTGGAGCAGCGGAAAAACAAAAATCGCACGGCTCAATCCTCTCCGGCCAGCCTCGGGCTAATTAGAACTGCAAAAAATCGGAAGTTTCCGCCGCCCCGTATTCCACCTCCCTGGCCCTCCACGCCCCGCGCGCGCGACCGTATCACCGCCGCAGTCGGCCTCCCCGCCCCGCGCGCTGTGGGAGCGGCGCCCACCCACCGGAGACGCCTTCCCCTTGACCGCCCGACCACCCCACCCCCTCCGGCAGGTGCCTCGCGCGTGATTTGCGCTCGAGAGGCCTCCTTTGAGGTGGCGGCCGGCCGCCGCTTCTCGCGGTGAGGCGGCATGAGGCCGTCCCCCCGTCGCGTTCGACGGCAGGCCGGCCACGGCACCGGCTGTCGCGGCTCGAGGGCGGCAGGCGAGCCGCCCCCCCCTCCTCCCTCCCTCCGCCCCTTCCTCCCTTCCCCGCAGCGCTGCCCCCGGCACGATCTCCTCGTGCCCCGCTGCCGCCCCACCCGCCGCGCCGCCCGCCGCCGATGGCCCGGCCGCCACCGCCACCGTCGGCGGCCGCCTCCCGCCCACCCGCACCGCCGCCCCGGCCACTGCCACCCGCGCCGCCGCCTCGCCCAACGCCGCCACCGGCCCACCCTCCCGCCCGTCGCCGCTGCCGCCGCGCCGCCGCTGCCGCCCTCCGGGCCGCCTCCGGCCCCGCCACCTGCCTCGCCGCCGCCCACGCGACTGGCCTCGCCGCCGCCACCGCCACCGCCCTCCCCACCGCCCTCCCCTCCGCTCTCACCGCCGCCGACGCGCCGCCACGCCGCCTCTGCCTCCGCCCTTGCCGAGCCGTCGCCACCGCCCTTCTCGCCGCCTCTGCCGCCCATGCCGCCTTGGGTGCCGCCTATTCCGTGGCCCTCGCCACCGCCGCCGCCGTCGCCGCCCCCGCCGCCACCGCTACCGCCGCCTCCCGCCCCGCCACCCCCTCCGACACCGACACCCCCCCTCCCTCACACCATCCCGGCCGGCCTCCTCCGTTCTAGCCCCAACTCCCACACACCACCACCGACCTCCCCGCGCCCCCACACGCCGGCCCCGCGCACCCACGCCACCACCATCGCCCACGTCGCCCTCCCCGACCCCCACCCCGCGCCCCAGGCTCTTCACAGCTACGCTCGGGGCGTCCTGGCGCCGCCTCCCCAACCGCTGCGGCCCACGCGGCCGCCGGGCGGCGCGACGGCGGCTACCGGCCGGCATAGCCCTTCCAGCGCCGGCCGGGGGCTGCGGCGGCGCGCGGCGCGCGGCGGGCAAGCTGCCTGCTGGCGGGCGGCGCTTCTAGTCGTGATTTTAGTGCCGCGTAGGTCGCCCATCGGCCACTTCTCGGGCGTGCGGCCGCAGCGCGGCGAGAAGGCGGCGCGCTCGGCCCGCTGGCGGAGGTGAAGCCCCCCAGAGCGGAAGCTGGCGGGCCGGGGGCGTCGGGCGGGTGCGCGGCGGCACCCGTGCCACCGGGACGGGCCGTGGTGGCCCGTGTGGCGGCCGTGAAGGGCCGTTTGGTGCGCCCCGGCGGCCGCCTGCACGGCGGCCGCCGGGGCCGGTTTGGACTGTGTTTGGGGGGGTGGAGGGGTCCGGTGGCCGGTGTGATGGTCGTTTATCACCCTCCTATCACCCACTTACCGCCCCCGGCCGTGGGGGCCTCTCCAGACGCCGCCATTTATGATTTCAAAGGGTCCTGCCGACGCTCATCACAGTGCGGCGGAGGGGCCGGAGCCGGCGCCGCGGAGGACGAGGATGGCCGTGGCGGACCGGGACGAGCTCTGGGAGGTTCAGTGTCAGTGAGTATATTGTAGAGGCCACCCATGTGCACAATATCTTGACTGAGAGCTAAGCCAGGGGAGGCGATGCCGGGGCCGTACAGCAGCTTGACGGTGCTTCGCCGGCGTGCGTCCCGCCGGCCGCCGGGGCCGGTTTGGACTGTGTTTGGGGGGGTGGAGGGGTCCTATGGCCGGTGTGATGGTCGTTTATGGCCCTCCTATCACCCACTTACCACCCCCGGCCGTGGGGACCTCACCGGACGCCGCCATTCATGATTTCAAAGGGTCCTGCCGTCGCTCAGTTCGAATCACAGTGGGGCGGAGCCTACCCTGTGCCGCTCCTGATCGACGACCTCACCTTCAAGCCGCTTAGCACGACCGGCTTCGTGCCCTACTACAACTATGAGCAGCAAGACGGCGCGCTCGCCGAGGTGAGCGGCACCGTCGGCCTGATCACCTCGGACGACGCCGGCCGCGTCGCGTCTCAGACCTTCATGTTCATGCTCTCGGGCGTGGACTCGAGGTGCAAGGACGGTGCCGGCGACGCACACAACTCGTGTGGTCTCCACATCCACCAAGGTGGCTCGTGCAAAGAGGACGCGCTCGGCCACTTCTTCAACGGCGACGGCTCCTTCGACCCGTGGGCGGGCGGGCCGGCGCCGATCGTCTACACGACGACGGACGACTTCACCTTTGGCGAGTTCACCGTTCTGACGGGCCTCCCTGCGCACCAGATTGACGGAAGGACGTTCGTTGTGCACGATTTCGAGGGGAGGCGGAATGCCTGCTCGCGGATCGGCAGGCCCGGCCGACGAGCAAGGTGGACAACGTCGCCTCCAGCTGGCGGAGCCGCCCGAAGATGCCCGAGGAGAAGAAGGCCAGCCACTTCTTGGGGGTCCTGGCTGGCGCTGCAGCAGGTGCCCTCGCCGGTCACTTGGCCAGCCAACAGGACAACTCCCCACACTACGGGCCCCTCAGCAGTACTACCCTCAGCAGCCGTGTGCACAGTCATCGTCTCATCATACTAGCACCCCACACGGCAATCCTTAGCAGCAGTACGGTTACCCTCAGCAGCATTACGGTGGCTACGGTTACCCTCAGCAGCAGTGGCACTCCTGGATCCAAGGCACCTCGGCCAGAGCTGCACGTCGGTGTGCCGCGAGCGTCGCTTGACCTGCGACATTCAGGCACTGGACGAGTTCGCGCGCACGGGCAGATACACAAGTTTCAACGTCAACTCGCTCAACGCCCTGACGCGGCAGTGCCGCGCCGTCAATTCGTACCCGGCTTGGCCCCACAGCCCGGCAATCTGCAACTCGCCCGCTTGCGGGTCCACCTGGCGATACAACAGCTTTGGTGGGTGCTCCATTGGCCATGGCGGGTCCGGGAGCTGCAAGGCCTTCCACACAGCTTTCTCCCGCTTCTGCCCGTGCGCTTAACGCTTGCGCGTCCGTGTCTGGGAGCGCGCGAGTGGAATCTTGGGGGTGTGGGCCTTGCGCCGTCACGCACGCCTCGCCTCACTCACGCCTGCGGCCTGGGCAAAGTTGAATATGTTGACGTTCGTTCTGATTGTGACCTGGCTGTTTAAGTCGTGCGAGGGAGTTTTGTTGTAAAATTCTGTTTCAAGTACCTAGGTAGGGTGTGGACCCTGAGTTGACCAACCAGGGGTTGTGCGCTGGGCCCTCCTGCTCGGCTCCAGCCATTACACAAGTCTTGTCATCAACAGAGTAGATGGATCTGACCTCGGGGCCGATGTGACCAAGCGCTGGTAGCGTGGTTTTACCTCACACCCACGGTCTCACAGTGTGCCGGCAGTCGCCGAGCAGTGTCGCTCCCACAAGCCGCAGCACAAGTGACTGAGGGCCAGTGAGGGCGAGCCCATCGCTGTCACAGCTGTGGCAGCCGCACAGTAGGCTGTGTCAACTGTGCAGAGTGTGTGAGCAGCAGAGGAGCTGCTCTCCAGGCTTCAGGCGCAAAGAGCTGCATGCCACCGAAAGCGCTGTCGAGGTTCGCCGAGCGCGGCGAAATCGGGGGACACCGTCACACCTCTACTACGGTCTAGCCCGGCGCGCAGTCGCCCAGCAAAATTGCGCCTGGCAAGCGCAGGCCGCAGCAATCCTGCAACGTGCAAGTGTCCCATGCCTCATACATCATGTAACAGAGTGTGCATTATCTCCTCTGCATATCGGCACCTAAAAAATAAAACGGCAAAACACTGAGACGTCTGAGCGCTTGACAGTTGACTGTGTACTTTACTCACTGTGACTCACACCGGAAGCAAACCCTTTGTGCGAGTCCTGCCACTGCCGCTGGCCCCACCGCTGCTGCTGTTGCCGTCGCGCGCCTTGGTCCGCGCGAAGGCGACGACGCCTCCCACCGCCGTGGCGACGCCCGCGCAGTTGGCCACCTAGGTTCGGGGTCAGGGTACAGGGTGAAGCTAGGTTCGGGGTCAGGGTACGGGGTGAAGGTCAGGGTCAGGGTCAGGGTTAGGGTCAGGCAAGGTCAGGGTCAGGATCGAGGTTAGGGTGGGCAGTTGGCCGCCGAGAGCGGCGTCGCAAACACTGCCGCCGCAGCGCCGATGACGAGCACGCGGCGCAGGATGTTGAGCACGGCGTGCCTAATCCCGATCACTCTCGGGCACTCTCGGGCAGTCTCAGGCTCACCTCGGGGTGCGGAGCAAGCGGCGCACGTCGCGATGCTGACGCGTGCGAGGACGGCGAAGCTGACGCCTGCTCTCCGGCAACCTCGTGTCATCTCGTGCAATCTCGGGTCAGCTCGACGGCGAAGCTGACGCCGTTGTACAGCGCGTGCGCCGCGCCGTTGGCGGCGAATAGACAAGCGACCCGCGCGGCGCCGGCGGCGCTGCCGCCGGCCGCGCTCGCCAGCAGCGGCCGCGCCTCAAGGATCAGCGCCGTTGGGAGGAGCACGAGCAGGCCGCCTAGTCTCGGGCAATCTCGGCTGATCTCGCCGCATCTCGGGTGACCTCGGGAGCAGGAGCCGGGCTGCCGCGCGCGACGTGGTAAAAGAGGCATGCGTCCGAGCGGGTGGCGGGCGAGCCGGCATGGCGGCGCTTGAGCGACTTGGTCAGCACGGCGCGGCCTATCCATTGACCAACTGAGCTGACCAACGCATGAGGAGGGTCGAGCGACGCGGCTAGCACGGCGCGGCCAGAGAAGGCGACGTTCGACGCGAGGGCGAGGGCCCCGCCGGTGGCGCTGAAGGCGCCGCCGCCGGAGCAAGCGGTCGCGACGCCGGCGACGATCGGGAGGAGGGCGAGGAGGGTGGCGGGCCGCTCCCGCTCGCCCAGCACCAGTCCGGCAAGAGCGACCTACTCGGCTCGAGGCCTGCAGCTTGGAGAGGCGCCGTGTGGAGCGGCAGCGGCATGCCGTGCAACTGCCGTGGTGAGAGGCTCGGCCGCCTTGACCGTCTCCACGAAGCTCGGCGCGGCGGCGGCGATGGCGGCGTTGGTGAGCAGGAAGCCGAGCGTGTATGTCAGGCTCACGCCGCGCACCGCCCGCAGCTCGACGTCACTCAGCGGGCCGCGGGAGGAGGACGGCAGCAGGCAGCGTGTGCCTGGTGCGGAGGCTCGCTCGTGCTGTGGAGAGGCAAAATTCATATTGCTTGTGGTGGTGTGATGCACACCCGCTGCTGCCACGGCAAACTGGACGGCGGCAAGGGTCGCTGGGCAGGCGAGCTCCTGCAGCACGATCTTGGCGGTCCAGATGGCAGCGATGGAGGCTGCGTACCAGGTTGCCACCAGCGGGCCGACGCGCAGCTTCATGTCCGCTGTTGGTACACGGCCAGCCAGAAAATGCAAGTGGCGGGGAGGAGGGCGAGCCGGCGGGAGCGGTGTCGCCTCGCAGCGGGGTGCCAACGCCCTCTGGCCTGGCGCGCAAGCTACTACACGCGCACCGGCCCAGGGCTTCCACCCACGTCACCCACCTCCCCGCGCGGGGCCGCTCCGGGGCGACCCGGGCGCCCTCCGACCACGCTGCCACACTACTATCCTTCAACAATAGTGCCCGTGAAGCGAAGGCGCGAGTCGGAAGGCCGCCCCCCGGGGGGGGGGGGGGGGCGACCGTGATTTGGTCCCTTCATTTTCCTACAATCGCTGTGATGTGTGAACCCAGCCACGTAGGGAGATCCTAGCATAAACATGTTCATGCATGTTGAAAGCAACCGGGGTGTGCTGTCCCACTGCTATATGAGCTCAGCCGCTCTGGGCGTCGAACGCTATGAGTCCTACGCCAGCCCCGCCAGCCTCGAGGCCATGATGGCCGTCCTCGTGGCGACGCTTGCGAAGCAGGCCTGCACCAGTGAGGAGCCGGCGAGGGCGAACGGCACGGCAACAGACAAAAACACCTTTAGGAAGGCGGCTGCAGCGAGGAGCGCGGCGGCAGCGTTGAGCCCTGCTGCGGCTGCTGCGACCAGCACGACTGCTGCTGCGGGCGCCTGCCTCACGCCCGACGCCGCGGCCGTTGCGGGCTCCTCGCCAGCCCCTCTCACCGTGGACGCGGCGGCCGCTGCCACCTTTGCATCCTGCGCGGAGACGTACGCCTGCAGCGCCATGGCTCGTGCCGCGGCCGCCTTCTTCAAATCTCTCTCCTCCTTGACCTGGATGGCCGCCGCCGCCGCCGCCGCCGTCTCGAGGTCGGCCCAGACGAACCCATCTGGCGGCGGAGTCTCGACGGTCCTCACCGCCGCGGCCTGCATCGAGGACGCCCCGCTCAGCGCAGTAGTCTTATCCTCCCCCCCCGCCGCCGCCGGCGCTCCGTCCCTGTCAGCCTCAGCCGCTCTCGCGCGCTTCGCCGCAGCCTCAGCCGCCTCCCAGTCAATGATTGGCTCCGCCGCCTCCCAATCCCCCCTCTTGTCCGCCTCATACCTCTCCAAGGCGCCGCGCCGCGAGGGCACCTCTGTCCCCGGCTCCTTTGCGCCCGGAACTCGGTCGCCACGGAACCAGGGGAGGCGCTGTGGCGCCGCCGTCGCGCCGCCACTCGATGCCCTGGCGGCCTTTTCCATCTTGACTGCCGAGCGGATCCGATCCGCCATCGCCGCCTCCTCGGCCTGCGCAGCCCGCGTTGCCGCCTTTCGAATCTCAGCCGCCGCCTTGCTCGCCGCTCGCTCTGCCTTGGCAGCCGCTTCCTTCGCCTTGCCGCTCGCCTCCTTGTCGGCCACTGCCTTGTCTGTCACTGCGTTCTCGGTTACCGCCGGCTCTGACGTCGCCACCTCGAGCACCGCTCCCTTGATGGGCTCCATCTCCCGCACGGCCACACCAGTCCCTCGGCCTGCCTCAGGAGCACTCCCTGGCGCTGGGGCCGGTGGCAAAGGTGCTACCTCGCCCTCATCGTCGCCGCTGGTTGCCGTCTCCAGAGAGCTGGTGCCACTCTTTCGCCGTAGCCCAAGGGGCAGCGCGACAGAGAAGAGTGCGCCAGCCAGGTAAGGCTCTGCCGGTCGGGCTTTTCGATCGCCCACGGCCTGCTCGTCCCGGGTAGATTGCTCGCCTGCCGCCTCGCTGCCCGCCTTGCGGTCTCGTTCCGCCTTCTTGGCTGCCAGCAGCCGTGCCACCTCAGCCTCGGCCTCTCGCCCCTTCTCCACTACGATGTCCTCCTTGACGTCGGGCGGGAAGAGGTTGGCGGTCGCCGCTTCCACGTACGCCTCGCCATACTCGCTGTTCGAGCCTCGCAGGCCGGAGTACTCTGGCGGCGCCTCTGGCGCGGTGGACGCGAGGGCAATCTCAGGCCGGGCGGCGGTGGCGGGTATGGCCGCCGCGGGAAAAGCAGGGAGGACGGAAGAGAGCAAGGAGGCAAGGAGGATTGGCGTGGCGGCTGGGATTGCGCGAGCCGCCCCGCCGGCGTCGTGCGCCGCTCCCAGCCTTGGCGTGCGGGATGAGCGGGCCGAGAACAGCATTGGCTCGTTCGCGTACGTCCACCTCGTATTGGGTGTATTCTCTCTCTATTGGGTACTCGTACGTCTCTCTCTCTCTCTCTCTACTCGTATTGTCGAGTATTGAGCACTTGAGCACTTGATAGGGTCGATTCCGCATGGTACGGGACCCCTCGATCGTCTCGCCCTCCCTCACTGGTGTGGGTATTGCAATACATGTACCTAGGCTAGGCCTAGCTCCTAGGTACTCTTTCGGTTTAATCGATACGTCGCATGAAGGAGATCATCCCCGCGCTAAGCCCTGGCGAGTAGAGGCACACGCACGCTCTCTCGAGGTCTCTTGGAGCAGAGCCCCGGCGAGTCCTCGAAAGAGCCAAATGGGTCCTCGGAGAGGGTACCCTGGGTGGGCGGGGCCTCTATTCGCCAGCGCTAAGCCCGTGGGCCGACGCCCTGAAGAATCAATCACGAACACCGTCGCGGTCCGTCGCCGCTCCCTCGGTCGGGCTGTGTTCCTAGTGCCATTGCGCGCAATTCCCGAAAAGAATGTTACCTTAGGGGACCCCTAGGCTTAAAAGGGTGGGCCCTGGGGCGCCTGCGGCTTAAACGGCTTAAAACTTGCCATGGCAAGTTTTAAGAGCTGCTGGGCCGCCAATTCCTTAAACGGTCTTAAACGCTTAAACGGTGCGGGAGAGCTCCCGAGGTCGATGGTCCGGGAGGCTCCCGGTAGACGCCGGAGGCCGGGAAGCTGGCTACAGTCAGCTAGCACGCGTCCCCTATGCGCGTATGGCTCCTGCCAGTGCACCAGACTTACAGATGTGTCTTCAGAGGCGGGTTTGTGCCTAATAACGGCAGTATCTCGACTTTTTCCTTGGCGGCAACGCGATGGCGGCAAGGCCTCTCTGCGCGCCCGCCCTCGCCACGCCGAAGACCAACCGACGTCGGACCGCGGTGAGACCACGCCGCCCCCCGCGCCCGCCCGCGCCCGCAGCGTGAACACATACGCGCGTCCCTCACCGCACGGAAACATACGCGCCAGCCGCGCAGCAGCCTCACATGCAGCGCCGACCGCATGCTCGCGCCCTGGGCCGCCGACGACCCGGTCGGGCGGGCTGCGCGGCCGCCGTACACCATCAGGCAGGCGCGCGACCACTCGCAGCGCGCCGCAGCCCACCGCGCAGCCCTGCCAGCCAAGCCTGCGCCTCAAAGCTGCACAAACAGGCGCACAACAGAGCACAGCGCACAGCACACGCCGGCGCGCGCGCAGCACACGCAGACTCACGCGCGATTCCAACACGCACACGCGCACAGCACGCGCGCATCGCACGCCAGCGCAGCGCCGCACACAGAGCACACTTGCCCACCAGCAGCAGCAGGCCTGCCACAATCCACATCTCACACACGCGCGCGCACACTCCCCACGCCGGCGCACGCATCGGGCGTCGCCGAGAGCAACTGAAGCAACCTTAAGCTGACTCCTGACCCCTCCAAGCCAACCCGTAAGCAGGCAGCATAAACAGCCACACAATGAGGCATCCTGCTGCAAAAAGGGGCACCTCGCTGCCTCCCGCTGCATCTCGTGGCATCTCGCGGCATCTCGCTGCCTCCCGCTGCATCTCGTGGCATCTCGCGGCATCTCGCGGCATCTCGCGGCATCTCACGGCATCTCGCGGCATCTCGCCTAACCGCGCCTAACCTCGCCAAATCTCGCCTAACCTCGCCTAACCTCCTCTGATCG